AATATTAATTAAGCGGCAATATCATTTTGCCTTTAATTGTGAAGCTGTCCAGTTTTATTAGTTGTATTCTTTAGCCAATCTCCAACATAGCCTGTGATCCCTTGGCTTTACTCTTTCTCAATTTGTGCTGTTAGCAGGAGAGAGATTATGCAGTTTGTGGAGTGGTTGGGACAGAATTAAATAAAACAAATGTGAACACAAAGGAAATGAAGTGGGTGAGACAAAAGAGCAACTTGGAGAGGAATAAAGAAGGTGGGAGAGAATGAGTTAAAGAAAAGAATAATTTTGAGTGATATCTGAGCAAAAAATCATAGCAAGACGGAAACTAAGGCAGAGTAAAGAAAATATACTAGACCGAAATAGAGGGGAAATAAAGGTGAATAATAACGCCAGCTTGGAACGCCCACCATTATTTTTCAACAAAATCATAGTGAAAACTGTGTGGCTGATGTTTGGTTCCATGGTACTGGCAGCCTCCAGTAACTTGCTCAAGTGCCTGTTCATGTGTGAACTTCAGGTTTGTGCTATTAAAGCTTAGAGCCAACAAAGTCCTCATTCAGTATCTGCAAGTGTATCATTTCTTCAGGTGTTGTCAGATGGCAAATGGGAAGGAACCTTGGTCAGTTTGGGCATTTGAGGTACTACACGGTATTAACTTTTTCATGTTTTCCTATCCAGTGGTAATTATTTTTATAGATCAATTGGAGATTCTAGAGCGTACTACCTCTAAAGGACTGAGATGCCAGCCTGACTTAGTTGGTACCACTCTTGCCTCTGAATCAGAAAATTGGGTTTGAGCCCCACTCATAATCTCAGCGACACCAGTTCAGTGGCGAATGAGATGTTAAACAAAGGCCCATCTGCCTGCTCAAGTGCCTATTAAACATCCCATGCCATGATTTGAAAAAAGATTTTTTTTCTGCTGTCCTGGCCAATAGTGCCCTAGATACAATTGGTCATTCGCTTCATGGTTGTTTTGGGGACATTGCTACTTGCATATTGGTTGCCATGTTCATCTACAAACTCTACAGTTCCTACATCCCCTTCTGTACTAGCTGTCAGGATAAAAGGCAAGTTGCAACTTGATCCTTCCTAAAATCTATTCATTGGGTTAGATGCAACCGTTGTCTAAAATTATTACTTTTATGAAAAAATGGAGTGATCTCTGGCAGGTTTGATGTGGATGTACTCTTGAAATGTATCAAGGAAGGCTTCAAATAATGAAGGCTCTTTCCAGACTTAATTATATCTATGAGTTGATAATTTGCTGTGATCAAGGCACAAAATGTATAACACAGAAGAGTAATAATAATGGTCCTTGCATTTGATTGGGTTGCAATTCACTTGCATTTCACATTGGTTTGCCATTTCAATGCACTTCACAATGTATACTGCAGTATATAGAGACTGTATTTTGTAGGGAAATGTGGCGGATGGCAATTTGCACATGACAATGTCCCACAAGCAGCCATGAAACAAATGACCAACTTTATTTGGGGATTGTTGGCCAGGTCACCATAAATCTATATTGTGCATCTGTGAGGGGTACAAGGCGTGTTTGGAATGTCTTGTTAAATTGGCGTGGCTATTTTGTCCTGAATATGCTAATTAGTTTCTGGCGCTTTGAATTTTTTTTGACACTTGAATGACTTCGACTGGATTGCAAATCTCTTTTGGTGTTGCATAATCCATGAACTAAACGGCTGTTCCCGTCAATATGCAGCCATTGTCTGACATGTTGCGGAAACACTTTGGACGAAACTAAATTAAAAAAATGTTTCAAGTCCAGTTGTCGAGCTGTATTTTGAAGCTGGGTTTCAACCTTTGGTTTTTAATTTCCTTGACATTTGCAATATAAGAACAAGGCTTTATTGAGGCAGCAGAATGTAATGGGTTTTTCCCACTTCATACAAAATTCTTTATTTGTGCTGAAAGATTCCATGTTAACAATTGAATGCTTTGTTCTGTGATGCTGACCAAGTTCTATTTATACTCAGTTTCATTAATATTCATGGGTTCAGTGCAATTGTATTTGTTTCACACATGGGTGTAACTGTGAGGAAATAATATACGTGAGCGTTTAGACTCTTAAGCAATTTTGTGCTTCTTGAGGTGAGGACGATTCATACAGCAGAATGACAGATCGTCTCCTACCAGCAGCAGTAATAATAATCCTTGCATTTGATACAGCACCTTATCACGTCTTCAAGGTCACAAAGCACTTCACAGAATATACTGTAAAGTGAATTGACTGTATAACTTGTGGGCGGGTCTGTGCTATGAACCCTATCTGCTCAAAGCTAGTAAACTACCGAAACTAACCTGATAATAGGAGCTGGAGTTCCCAGAGGTCAAAGGGCAGTGTTAGAACATACTGCACCACCCAGTCCATCCTCCACTTTGAAAGAATTTGACATTCGTGTTTTTTGTCGCCATTATAATTCACACTCCAACTGATGTGTGCTATTTAACAGTCAACATTTGACGTGCAGTATTAATTTGTTTACAAATTAAAATGATACCTGCTAATTTTACTCAAGCGTTCAAGTGTAAAGCCCCAATAAGTGACTTCCAAATGCAATTTCCGAACCTTCTAGGAGAAATAGCTCAGAAGCCTTCTACGGGATCGGTAGTAATTTCAGCACAGGAGTAGATGGTTGCTTATGCTGGTTCTACGTCTCCCACTGGAGCTATCTTCTTATTTATACATTTGCTTAGCTAAATTAATTGCACTCTCAGCTTTGGGTCAGAAAGTTGTGTCCTCAAACCTTTATTTAAATGTCTATCAACTGCCGTCCCAGGTGCTGAAAATAAATATCAACAAAAAGCACAACGCATGCATAATTAGACTCTTTATCCAATTCCAATCCTGGAATCCTATATCTTGTTTGAATGCTAACGGTCAGAATTCCTTCAGACCTTTATTGGCCTAAATGAACCAAATGCTAGATTCCTCTGTAAGGACAAGGCCCAGAGTTAGAATCAGAAGAATGTAGCTCGCCAAAAATGGCACTTCAGTCAGCAGTAGCATGAATGAACAGCCTGTATAGCAATAGGACAAGGACAGTTTGGCAGGATTTTTGTATTGTCTGAACACCCCGTCCTCCTGTCAGAACATATCTTGTCTGAGCTGCCACATTCATATCCTGGGGAGGGAGCAAAATAGGACTGACTGTCAGCAACAACTCTCATATGGTGCATCCCAGGTTAGGGCAGGGACTTCACATGCTGGCATGACAAGGACATTCAAAGGCTCTTGCGGCTCATTCACTTTTTAATACTGTTCGGGGACAAAACCATCCAAATGCTGCCAGAAATGGAAACACTATTGTGCTTGTATAAATGCAACCCAAATGCTGGAGGCTGAGGTGGTGAGCAACAACAATAACAAATTGTATTAATACAGCACCTTTCACGTCAGGACGACGTCCCAATCACATAACCTCCTGCATCTTCAGATTGCAGCTAATCATATTGGCAAAAAGTACTGTGTGTAAACCAAGATTGCAGAACAGACATCAAATTGAACTGTCAGCTTTATAGAGTTGATAGCACTCTCCCCACAGGGTGCGAATCATGGGTGCTAACCTTTATTGGCCTAAACATTGGGATTTTGAACTGACAGCCCAGATTCTAGTGCAATGAGGAGACCTGCGTTTGTCAGAGGTACTGTCTAGTTTAATGGGTGGGGTGTAGGGAATCCTGCATTGTCAGAGGTTCTGTCCTTCAGACCAGATTAAACTGTTCCTGTCTGCCTGTTCAGGTGGACATTACACATCACATGATTCAACTCTAAAGAGAAGGGAGTTTCTCCTGATATCCCAGTGTCAGAGTAAATTGGTCATTCGGGTCCTGGCTGTTTGTGGGTCCTGCTGTTTCCAAATTGGCTACTGTGTTTGGCTGAAATGCAGACACTTCACAAATTTATTAAGTGCTTTGAGAAGTTTTAGTGTTTATTAGCTATATAAAAATGCAATGTGTATAATGCAAGCCAACTCCTGGCTTCCTCCTGACTGCATGCTAACTATGCATCACATTGCTTGATGTGAGTTGAGGCTTGATGATCCTTGCATTTGACATAGCACCCAAATGGATCCATCATATTCACACTGTACTATGTATTGCCTGTACTCCCAAGAAAATATTGGGTGAATGTTGGTCAGTGTGTTGTAACTTAGAGAATAACTGAATTATTGGACAGAATTAGATTCTGCCCAATAAGTCAGAGAAAATGATCAGCAAAAGCATTGTTTTTCAGAGATGAAATATTTGAGAAGCATTTTCAGTATCAAAAGACTGGAGAAATTGACTGACTAATTTATATCTGAATGATTTCCCACTGAATATTGCTTAGTGAGGCTCATATATGGGTTAGCTTCAATTTTTATTGATTTAAAACAAATATTTTTGGGGGGCCCAACTGTTGTAAATTATTCAGCTTCTCAAATGGTCTGAATACTTTATGTACCAAAGGATGGCCTTTGTAAACTAAAAGACTTCATTAAAAGCCTGAATGGCGCCTTTGAGCTGTCTGGTTCGGTGCAGCGAGGCCACTTGGCATCGCTCTCTCTCTTGCAAGCAGCTGCTCAATGTTGAGTTGCTCCCTCGATCTGCTGTTTTGTAGCACTGTTACTAGAACTGACATGGATGATATCACGTTGCAGTTTGGGACCGGAATCTACTTCCTGCAGCACAGTTTAATCCCTTAACAATGCGATTCAAAATTAATTCCTTTTGCGGTCTCAGTAGTGCACATGTGAAATAATTCCAAGCTGTTTTGAAAATTGCCTGAGAAACTGATTACGGTCAATGACACCCCATCATGGACCAAGCTGATTTGGATTAAGGAAAACTGTTGCCTTGCGTAATGTTGCTTTAAAAATTGCTACCAGTACCAAATTACTGTAGTCAACTCATTGTCACTTGGGTCCCATTAGGAAGAAAATGCTTCCTGTATTGAGACATGTTTTAATCTTAATATTTGCATATTTCTGTTTCAGAAGGTCCCAGGTGATCTGACGCTAGATCTTTTGCTGGATATGTCAGATGCTAAAGTCGCGGAGGCCATGAAGAGATATGGAGTCAACCCCGAGGAGTGCTGTCGGTTGAATGCTGCCCTCTCCTGTTTAAAGAGTGTAAATGATTCAGGTAATTGTTAATTACGTTATTCTAATTCCATCAGTATGTTTCACATTAGGTACTTTTTTTTTCTGACAATACCACAGCAACTTTGTGAAACTAGTGACTATCAACTGATGTGTGGTCATGTGATCAAAGACAGATTCAGTGTAAAAAAAAGATTAAATGCAGTGCCCCAAGTCTCTCGAGTATCTCATCCAATCCATTTTTTTTCTCCTACTAAAATGCATCTCTTTTTTAAGTAACGTTTTATAACTATTTGTTTCGCATAGGTTTGGTGTTCTGCTGAGAGGGAAAGTTTGTGTTAGCTGTCTCTTCTCATGGAAAATGCTGAAAATGTGGATATTGCCCTACTTGGGGCGAGATGTATTTTTATTCAAACTGCAGGAAAAGGACTGTTTTTTGATCCATTTTCATATCCTATGCCCTAATTTTGTTTCAACAGGTGGGGAGTTGCAAGATGATGCAATTCTCTGGACCTCATTTGAAACGAGACGAGAAAGCAGTACCATACCTCCTTCAGAGCTGATATGTCCTTCCAGTTCCAGGCGGTCACATAGTCCTTCTCTTGTTCCTAGACTGATCTGCCCTCAGCCACGTTCAGTGTCTGTGTCTGTTATCCCTTCGTCAGATTCTTCACTACTGTCAAATCTACCAGATAATTCAGCCGATCCTTTTCCACCATCCCCTCGCCCCGGTCGCTGGAAGCCAAGGACTCAAACCCTCACTATCACACCACCTGCCACACCTCCCTCAAAGAAGAAAAACCGATTCAAACCACCACGGACTCCACCACCACCTTCTAGGAAACTTATTCATCTTTTTCCTGGTTTCTCAACACTAACCAGGAGCAAGTCTCATGAGTCTCAGTTAGGAAACCGAATAGATGAGATACCACCTATTAAGTAATTTATTTTTTAATTATATACTTGTATGTCCTTTTTGGTCTAAAAGTTCTGTGTTTTTTCCTGAGGCAGTTCTACTCATGGAGAGTGTTTTATTGTGCTTTCTCAGTACATTGAAGCTTTCCAAACAGTATAGGCAGGGGGTGAAAATATTCTTTCGAGGAGGGGTGGGCTGAGTAAAACTTAATAGCTGTTGTGCTCAGGAACATTTTGTGTTATTCAGAGTTGAGTAATTCATAGTCAGAGCCCCGTTTTAGCGCAAATATAAAATAACGCAACATAAAATGAAAAAAAAGGCCAGACAAACAGGAAGAGAATTAAAAATTCAAGTCGGAAAAGGCTGTTTGCCTTTAAGACAGGTGAGCCATTGGCTTGACTGACAGGTCCTTCGGCCAGTCAGAGGTGAGGACACCCCAACGAGTAGCGCATAAGTGGGGTTAGGCACTGCCAATGAGTTGAGAGGGGTCCTGTGGGTGCTGGAGGTTAGTGCTGCTTGGCGGATTGGCTGTGGTCCTCAGAGCTTTCCCCTCCCAGCTCCCCTTAAACAAACATTCTGCCCAAGGAAGCTGCAAATTGCCCCCAGTGTATATTCTGGTATGTGAATTCTTGTAATGACAAAAATAGTTATTTAAACAAAATTTGAGAGAACTGCCAAAGTACAATTCAATGTTTTATTGTAATACCCTTTGGGTTATTTTCATCACCACTGCACAAAATGTTCAATTCTTATACTTTTCTCTTTTTTTGCCTTGAAGGTTAGGTAATAAGAAAAGCAGATTCTTTGTCAATCTAAACATGAATGGCAATGGGAGCAGCTGTGATGACATTCCTACTCGATCACCCTTATTACCAAATAGGCCTTTCTTTTCCCAGTCTTCTGGAAGTTCTCACTGTCTCCCCACAACGCCTTGTCCATCTGATGACTACAGTTCTCCAAAAAGTAAGTATATCTTATTCTAGTAATTTTGTGGCATGTATTGGGCACTCCCAAAGCCAACAGATCAGCTTGTTTCTGAATGGCATTGCATGATTGTCTTTCACTTTGCAAAAACATAGTGCTGGAATGATTAACGTGTGTGTTTATTAAACCTAAGTTTTATTGCCAAGCACCATCCAAACTGATTCCACACTTTTCCTTGGATCATTTCACACCGCGCATATTTCTCCTCCATTTCCTGGGTCAGAAGCGAACAAAAATTTGTTCCTGAATCCGTCATTCTAGATCTGACCACAGGGTGATGTTTGACCACCTTCCCTCATTGGGGAGGCATTATGTGTTTGTTTGCATATTATAGCAATGATAATATAGCTAAACAAAAAGAAGTTGTATGAGTCAATTTTGGATGATCAAGATGGGACAATAACCAGATTGAGTCCTGAAATGTTTGAGCTTTGCCTGAACATGTATCTTATGACAATGCATAAAGCATCGTGCTTGCTTTTCTGTGTTCAAGGTGCTGCAACTTCAACTTTACTTATTACTTGGTGGCTTTGTTATCCTCTTTTCACATGAAGTGTGGCATTATAGCAATTACTGGGAGTCAGCCGGATGTCAGACCCATGCACGTGTCGAAAAAACACCCGTCTGACCAAAAAAAACCACGATCGCTATATATCGTAGCAATATATAGCAAGTAAAATTCACTTCATGGCTTTTTGTGGGACATTGCTGTGTTGTCCTGTAAAATACGTAGTCATTACACTTTACAGTGTATCCTTTGAAGTTCTTCGAGATGAACCTCCTATGTGAAAGGCGCTGTATCAAATGTCATGATTATTATTATTGTCCCAAGTACAGAACACGTGTGTCTGTTTGAGGAGGGTGGAAGCATTGTTTACACCAATATTATTATTATAATTTGGTGTGGGATCTTAACAAAAATCGACATATATGAAATATGTATCTTTTAAACTGTTGATTTATTTTAGATTATTCAAGTTGCGCTAAATTTCTTTTCTCTTTTTAGACACTTTACATGTACCACGGGGTTCTCCTCCAGTTCAGCGAAGAGATTTTGGTCTTTCGATTACACATAGGCAAGTAATCAGCCACAGTAACAAGTGGTGCAACATTGTCTAGTGTAATGATTTCATTTATGTTGAAGTATATTACCTGCAGGAGTAGATTTGAAACAAGTATAGGTTGGTGAAAATAACTGTAGGCTGTTTGGTAAATGGTTTTATTTTAATTTTCAAAACTACTTTGATCATTCAAACCTTAGAAAATTTTAACCCACATTTTCTATAAAACTGCAATTGATCATTAAGGTCCTGGAAGTTACTGTTATTAATTCAGATAATTGGAACTAAATAACTTGCATTGGACTGGGTTTTTGACGTATTACATTGTTAAAATCTTGTTTGGTTTTACTATTGTGAAGTTTGGATGTTGTTTAGCTTTGGTGGTGTAAGTCACATCTGACCTTGAAAATAATTAATTTGCCCCAAATTATACAGTCAATTCACTTTACAATATATCCTGTGAAGCACTTTGAGATGTCTCGAAGACATGATTAGGTGCCGTATCAAATGCAAGGATTATTATTATTATATTGCTACTGCATGAAGCAATGCTCCACTTTCCAGCAATAAACATCGTTATTGATGTTGCACTGGAGAACCCAAGAGTGTTGTGAATCTTACTTTGGTTTTGCTCCTAGGTTTTCTACAAAATCTTGGTTGTCACAAACCTGTCAAGTTTGTCAAAGAAGTATGATGTTTGGAGTAAAATGTAAACATTGTAGGTGAGTACTACAAAGACTTTTGCAGGATTTTTTAAGTCTTGAATACCAAAAAACTGTGCAGGTATTTTGAGGTAAATATACATCCAGTGCACAGACTTTAGTGGTATAGGTGATTGGGTATAAATGCGTGAAATAGCCATTGATTAGAAGTTGGTATTTTACTATTTTTCAGATACTATATTATTGCCTGTCATTAGTTAAATTCATTAAAATAATTTGGATACTTCCTTGTATATCTCTCCAGATTAAAGTGCCACAACAAATGCACAAAAGAAGCTCCTGCATGTCGAATATCATTTCCTCAAAGTAAGTCTTCAGTTCACAATTGAGCAGATCGTAAATGATAATATGCTCATTAACTCGAAAAACAAGCTATATTTTAATACCCGGCTTGCATTTTTGTTGCATAGTTCTAAAGGCTATAGTCCTGCTTACTTTAGATGCGATCAACAAACTCAACACAGAATGAAAAAAAAATGTTCCTATCCTATCATAAGCTGGGTCACTGTAATTTATTATTCGTCTGTGCTTTGTGCTGAAGCCTGCTAATAAAGAAAATCCTGTCGAGTTTTCACGAAGAGCGGAGAGAAAAAATTCTGCCTTCTGAATTGTGCTTATTATGTTGCAGTACCAGCAAGAATCCGAAGAACAGAATCTGTGCCATCTGACATAAACAACCCTGTGGATAGACCTGCAGAGCTTCAGTTTGGCACTCTTCCTAAGGCACTAAATAAAAAGGTACCATAATAAACAACTACTACAATCCTGCATGTGTTTGCAAACCAATATAGTTTATTTGTTTTGGTAATTGCGTTGGGAGATTCTTGCTTGATTTTGAACTCTGATTATGGTTCTTTCACTATGTTTCGAAAGCCCAATGATTCACTATTACCGTATCTCATTTCTTGCTTTCAAACAATATCTTTCAAGTATCACAATGTATCACTGATGTAAGCGACAATCTCTGATAAGATGTTGAATACTGCTTAAGGATTTTGAAACTAAATAAGCGACAGCATTTTCAAACCATTTTGACAACAGGAATTAAATTAAACTCGTCAGTAATTAAATTTGCAAAGATTCATACGCTTTTTTTTAATGACTGCAACTGGCATACAGGGGTTAAACGGTCAGAACTGGACTTTATTGCTCAAAGCTATTCCTCATATTGTACTTCAAATTAGGAAATAAAGTGTAGCCCGAAAAATAAAATATATTTTTTAAATGTTTTGCAGGATCACGCACCAGCTTTGAATCAGCTTGATTCCAGCAGTAACCCATCTTCAACAACATCATCAACACCTTCTTCACCAGCACCTTTCCAGTCTTCCAATCCTCCCAGCGCTACCCCACCTCCTAACCCTTCACCAAAGGGTCCCAGGGACAGGTTTAACTTTCCAGGTAACTTTACACAACATCCGCTTGTATCTGACAAAACAAAGCGATCCACAGCAGTACTCGCATGTGTGAAAACCCTCTCTCTTTTTGAAATTTAGAAATCTTGTAAGGTGGTGCTCCTCTGAGAATATGAAAATCCAATACCCACATGTTTTTAATGTTTATCAGCATGGTTAGGGATTTGCCGGTTAACAAACTTTCTAGTGTGAAATGATTGATGAGTCTGCTTCATAGGAAAGGTGTTTGCTGGTTCCTATCCTGTCCTAACTGATTGGTTATGTTTCTGCCTGTTTGCTGTTCTCTTTTTTTTTCCAAGCTGCGTACTACTTTCATCATAGGCAACAGTTTATCTTCCCAGGTGAGTTGGCATTTCTACTAACATCATTTCTCTCTCCACTCTTTGTACTTGTACTTTTTTTACCGAAAACCTCTATTAACCTGTAGGAGATTCTTACAAGTAGTAATAACTGCAAATAGTTTAGTTTCCAGTTTGTTTTTTAGTGGGCTACATTTGTGGAATTACTCAATAAAGTAATGGAATTTTGCTGACCAAATAAATGTTGTCATTTAGACGTTCCAAGTCCTTCACCGCAAGTCACTCTACAGCTCGAGAGTTCTGAAGACACTAAGTAAGGATCTTTTTGCAATTAGTACTGATAAAATAAATACAGATTAAAAGAATTATCAATAAAACAGTGCTCGACAACTGGGCTATTATTGACACAGTGGAGATTGACGCCTGTTATGTTCCTATTAGTCAAATTTCTAATTCTGTAGTGTTGCATAGGAGTTGAGTTTAGGATCATATGCCTACTTTCCTGTATTAACTTTTCTTTGCTTGGACTGCAATAGTTTGTTTTGAACCTATACATCTAAATAGGCAAACAGCAACTGGTTACAAATCATCAGAGGCAGAAAGTAGGCTTGTTTGCCTGCTCTCTGCCTAGGGAACATTGTGGGTCCTTAAAATGGAGGGCGAGGAAAGTCATGGTTGAAATAATGGAAGTTTGTATTTTTAACTTAGAAAATTGCTTTCATCTTTCTCTCAAAGTGCCAAACACCACATTCTACTGTGGTAACTTTCTCATGGGTGCTGTTTAATTTTATTCCCAAATGAAACCTACTTTTATTGATTTTAATTTGCTGATTCTTTTTCTCTGCCATTTGCTTCCCCAAGTTCAAGCCATGTCATTGCCCTGTGCCTACAGGTCTCCATGGGCGCGATCATTGCCGCTTCGCGATGATCCCTTTGCATAAAGCCTTCCTCTACTTGTGTCATATTTTGGCATAGGAATTAATAAAGGGGCTTCATAATTAGTTATATCATCAAATCAACTAGCTAACATCTTGTCTGTTTGAGCTCCTTAAAGGTGCACATTGAAATACTGGGTTTTTGGTGAAGTGTAAGATGCACTAAAGCACTGATTTTGATAAATCACTATACCTAATCTCGTATTGATCGCTATGTTGAATCTAGCTATTATGAATTATTATTTAAATACTCCTTGATGCACTTAAGTGTAGAAATCTTTATTTGCATCACATAACTAGTTAATTCGCTTTTGTTCTTTAGATTCAAAACATCTAATCACATAGTTGGAGGTTTGGTTTTGCCCGTTTAATCAGATATCTTAGATTTACATATCTAATTTTATTTTCATGCCTCTGTTAGGGTTAATTTATGTCAAGGGTTAGGAAACTTATTCTTTGTCTTGCAGCACTGTAGAGGAGACTGAACCAGAAGCTGCTGAGGAGCTGGATGCAGAGGTATGTCAGCATTAAGCATTTAGTACAACAGCCCAGTACAGTACAAATTAAATGTCTTATCTGTTTGAGCTCTGTAAACATTAGTTTACATTTTTTAATGCAAATCGCTAATTTTATTTTGGAGCTGAAATGCACCTGGAGTCCCCAAAGAATTTATAATGTTCACCCAGGTTACAGTCTAATTATTTTGTAAGTCCTTATGTACCAGTATATACATCAGCCTTTAAATGGAAGTGTCTAAGTGTATTTATTTCAAGTGATTTAAGTTATCGATAAATATAAACATCAAAAGTTGGCACCTTACCAAAATATTTTGCTCAGAATAGATCTAATTCACTAGGACAGTGCCACAGTGTGGTGAGATTTTGGCTTCTGCCTGTGTATCACATTCACTGAACTTGGCAGTTTTAAGTGGGGCGGGGGTGGGGGGGAGCGGAGAAGCTTAACCTGATTCCACAAAGAAATAAGAGATGACTGAGTCACACAGTGCAACTGCTGCAAGCTTGCCTTTGGCAGAAATCTAGGGACAGGTTATCTCTTGGTCTAGAATGGTGCATTGTACGTAAAGAACTAAAGAATTTTAAGTAATTTTTGGAAAAAAACTCTTGACACAGTTAACGTTTCCCTTTCAGATTGAAGAGCAACCAGCTGAAGAAGAGGAGGAGGAGGTGAATAAATCTGAAACTGAATCTGAAGACGATGAGGTGGATGACTTGCCAAATTCAAGGTCCCACTGGAAAGGACTGATTTCTCGCAAGGCCAGCCAAACTAGTGTCTTCTTACAGGAATGGGATATCCCGTTTCACGAATTGGAAGTGGGAGAGCTCATTGGCAAAGGGCGATGGGGGAAGGTTCACAAAGGACGGTGGCACGGGGAAGTGGCAATTAGACTCTTAGAGATTGATGGAAATAATCAGGATCACCTGAAATTATTCAAAAAGGAAGTGATGACATACCGGCAAACAAGGCACGAGAACGTGGTGTTGTTCATGGGGGCTTGTATGCATCCGCCTCACTTAGCCATTATTACAAGGTAACTGAAATATCAATCATCTCTGTACGGAGTTTTAACCAAAATATCTGTTTTCATACAGGTAACCGTTTCAAATACTGTAATAAAAACAGAAGTCACTGGGAACACTCAGCAGATCAGGCAGCATCTAGACATCTTTGTTAGAACTCAGACGAAAGATCATCAACCTGAAATGTTAACTCACTTTTCTTGCTCCATAGATGCTGCCTGACCTGTTGAGTGTTCTCAGCGAATTCTGTTTGTATTACAGTATTTGAAACGTTACACAATCTTTTAGTTTGAAATACTGTGTTCAGCGACCACCATTATGAAAATTCTATTAAAAAAAATTAATTTTTTCTTCTTTCAAAGTTATCAGTAATTTAAATGGGGGTGGGGGGTTGGTGAATTATGGTTATTTTGTCAGTGTGACGCATTAGCATTACTATAGGCTGAACCTCAGCCTTGGCTAACAGTTGCATTTTGGACCACCTCCACTAGATGGAGAGAATCTATAATGTTTCTGTAATGATCTAACTCAGTTTCATGCAAACATAACTAACCAAACCTTCTTTTATATTATTTAGTTTTTGTAAAGGGCGAACACTCTACTCTTTTGTGAGAGATTCTAAAACCACGCTAGATATTAACAAGATGAGGCAAATCGCACAGGAAATTATAAAGGTAAGACTGGATCATTTTACATTATGTTTTACGTTGGCGTTAAACTTTTGTGGCTACAATCCTTTCTTTATATCTGTAAATTTATTTTCCTCATATTTTAACCTCTGAAAGTTGTCAATACCATGTAGCAGCTACAAATGTTTTTCTTTTTTAGGGGATGGGGTACCTTCACGCAAAGGGTATTGTGCACAAAGACTTGAAGTCAAAGAATGTCTTCTATGACAATGGGAAAGTTGTAATCACAGACTTTGGACTCTTTGGTATATCTGGAGTGGTGCAAGAGGGCAGGTAAGAATGTGATCTTTGCATAGTGTATTTCAATTCCAGGCATGAAAATTAGTCGATAGTCCCTTTGATTCAATCCATTTAGATTTTGAATCAAATCTACTCAAGGGAATAAATACAGTGATAACAAAATTGGTGCTTCAAAAATCTTCACTTGCCGTCAGTTCAAATGCAGTGCTGAGAAAGCTGTTATTTTGATAAGTTGCAATCTGATTCAATAACAACTTTCAAAAGGAAATTAGACAGGAATGCAAGAACATGGGAAAAGAGGGGGGGAGTGGGACTGATTGGGTAGCTCTTCCAAAGAGCAGGCACGATGGGCCGAATGGCCTCCTTTTGTGCTGTAATATTTTAAGATTCTATATTTTCCTGAATAAAAAGATGGTATAACTGCTAGACTTCAGTGCGATCTTTTTTGCCTGCTTTAAGAGTAAACACATTTTTAATTGTTAGTTGGCGGCAGTCTCTCCTTAAAGCTGTTGAAAACCATGCACATCCTTTTTGAGATGACTGTGATATGATAGACAGAGGGCAATTTTCCTTTCTGTGGTTAAAAGCACAAGAATGTTAACCACTGGAGAGGGGCAATAATGGATTTGAACCAAGTCTGCTTAATATTGGCATTAGATTAATTACGGCAATTAAGGATTCTACAGGGAAGACTATTCCACACCACAAAGTGTTCCCTTTCTTGATAAACATGTACAATAAGAGGTTTGATTTTTTTTTTACTTTCCAATTCACCACAGGCGAGAAAATGAGCTTAAGCTGCCAAATGGATGGTTGTGCTATCTAGCCCCTGAAATAGTCCGAGAAATGTATTCAGGCAAGGATGAAGACAAGTTGCCATTTTCAAAGGGTGCAGATGTATATGCATTTGGGTACGGTCTAAAACTAATATACTTGTGTAATTGTGTCATCTATGAAAGTTCGAGTTTTATTTTTTTTTAAGTCCAATTTAGTGTGCAAAACCAGTCCCTCAATAAAATTATAACTTGTGCTGTTAAAACCAGCAAACTAGGTTAAGTATTTCAATTATAGAAACAGGAGAAGGCTATTCAGCCCCTCGAGCCTGTCCCGGCATTCTATAAGATCATGGCTGATCTGTACCTCAAGTCCAATTACCTGCCCTTGCCTCATATCCTTTAATACCCTGAATTATACTTCACAACAGTTTTAATGGCTAGTTTTGGACTAATGGAGGATGGGGCCATTTTTCTTTTAATAACTGCTACGATCTAACAAATCATTTTTTTTAAAGATTTCTTCTGTTCATACTCATAGTTTCCTAATTCCTGCAGAACTATTTGGTATGAACTTCAGGCAAGAGATTGGCCCTTTAAGAATCAGCCTGTGGAGGCAATAATCTGGCAGGTTGGCAGTGGAGAAGGAGTCAAGAACATATTTGCTCAGATCACCTTGGGAAAGGAAGTGACGGTGAGTGAAGTATCTTTGGGAACATGCTCTCATAAGTTGGCTTCTGAGTACTATATTAACTTAGTGCAAAGAGAATATATTTTTTGTGCTTCTAGTTTCAATCCTCTTGATCTTTTTGTGCTTAGAAAGCAATATGTGTGAGCCTCGTAATAGTGGCACCCACATGCCAGTTTAAAGAACACTATGGTCTGAAGAATTCAGTCACTAACTTATTGCTTCTCAAATTCTCTGAATTCAATGGTTACTGAGGCTTTTAGGAGGAACCTGGCAACACTAACAACTGGGTTTATTTCTTCTGCAGGAAATTCTATCTGCGTGTTGGTCTTATGATTACCTTGAACGACCAAATTTTACTCAGCTGATGGAGATGCTTGAAAAACTGCCCAAACTCAACAGGCGCCTCTCCCACCCAGGCCACTTCTGGAAATCTGCAGAGTTAGTATCCCAGAGTTATATATGTTCTTCCCTTTTAAATTGTGCAGCTAGTCGGCTTATTTTTGTTTAGCATGTGTCTCACCCTCCAGTCTTTATGGCAGCCTTATATCCCAGCTGCCAAATGGTTTGATTTGTGCTGCAGTGCTGCAGCACTTTTTTGTAAGGTAGAAAGTCTTTTTAGAAAAAGCCTATTGCATTTTCATAATTGCTTTATTTTCATTTACGTTAAAAGTTACTTCTTCATAAATCAAATCAGGGTGTAGCACTTTGAATTTACAACTTGTTTATATTTTTTCACCCTTGTTTAAACATATTTCTGGCCCTGTGCCAGGCACAACTAAAGGCATGCAGACAACTTGGATACAGGCCTTTATTAAATCTACTACCAGATTCCGTAGGTCTGCAAGGGCAGCCCAGAGTGCATTTGGTTTGAGTTTTCCCTCACATCTTATACAGAAGCTCCCAGCTTCTCCCTAGCCAGCTTAGCCAATGTTGCTAACCTGCTGTGTTGGAATCACTGGTGGGAACATGCAACCAAGCATTTTTGTTCTGTTTATCTGCCATCTCTCTTCCTGTCCTTTGAGCACTGTGTGGTATCCTGTTGAAAACCTCTAAACCTGATCTCCTAACTTGTGCTACCCATTTCCATTTGAGCATCATGTTAAACTTTGTGCAATATAATATGCCTTTCCGATTAATTGCCAAACATTGCTGAAATTCATGCTGGTCCTTTTCCACTCTCCTTTGTGGATATTTAAATCTCAGTAACTGAATTCCTCTAAAGACATTGGCGCCACTGTTACTGTCACCATGGGCACCACTGCCTTCAAGGGTTGCATCACCAGCCTGGATATAGATAGTCACCAATAAGACCCTTGAAAATATCACCTGGGTGCTCTGTCTTCTTTCACTTTCTTTCATTGTGTTAATATCCTTACTGAATTCTGTCTTTTTGTTGGTGGTTCTGTCTGACAGTGACCAGGGGTTCTCTCTGTTAGTTTTTCATAAGGCTCCTTCACTTCTATTTTTTAAATTCTCACCTTTCCTGAAGATGCTAATTTCTTCTCGACTGTCTTTTATGTCCACCGTGTCCAGTGGACATAACTTCATGCTTGTGAGATAAAATAATAATATAATAATAATCCTTGCATTTGATATAGCGCTTTTCACGTCTTCTAGACGTCTCAAAGTGCCTTACAGAATATATTGTAAAGTGAATTGACCATATATTTGTGGGCGAAACGCAGCAGCCAATTGCACATAGCAGTGTCCCACAAACAGTCGTAGATTGAGAATGACCAATTTATTATTGTTTTGTTTTGGAGGGATTATTATTAGGCGTGTGGAGTAAGATAAGTGAGATCTTAGATTAGTGAGTATTTTGAGGCTATGTGGGTGGTGTGATAGCCACATAACTGCATCTTCTAACACAGGTGAAGGACAGTGATTTTCCCTGTGATTTTCCTTTCCCCTCCTCCATTCCTGCCGCCCATTGGCACTGAGGCTTACTTTAGCATTCTTGCTCTTTAATGTGCTAGGATGTAGTCATGTCTCCAGGGCTAGGGATCTCCTGGGAGATTGTGGTCAAAATATAATTAGATACATTGTTAACATAGAAAAAGAGGAAGAAAAACACCAAAAGTCAGATTGGATGAAATTTGCAGGGTTGAGGGAAGAACTAGCACAAATGAGTTGGTGTGAGTTGGGGGTAAAACCGGTGGTTGAAAGTTTTCAAGTGTGCGGTGGAAAAAAGAGGATATATTCCAGTTGAAACCAAACGGTTTAAGAAGCGCACTATATTCAAAATTACGCTTTAAAACGGCCTCCAATCATTACAAAACAGAGAACATTGTAAAAAAAACTCAAACAGAAAGAAGAAGAAATAAAAACTTGCATAAATATTTAATTTTACGCCTCAAATTACATTGCTAGAAGCGTGTTGAAATTGAAATCCCTAAATGATTTAAGATTGGGAAACAACAACTTGCATTTATATAGCGCCATTTATGTGAGGTTGGGTCCCAGAGCGCTGGATTAGTATTTATATTACACACTCTGAATTGTTTTTCTTTCGAGTCTGAGTAGAAATCTACACAGACCTTCCCTACATGGTACTAAACTTTTTTTAAAAAAAGTTAAACAAGGAGTGTGACTGTCTCTTCAATAACATTTAGAAATGCTCCGAGAAGTTTTTAAGAGATAGATTTTTTGAGACAAGTCGATTCACACCGGTGGTACATTTATAGAAATTGCTGCTAAATATCTGCTGCTGTAGCTTGGGGTGGTAGGAGGGAAGAATCTCGAATTGGTAGCAGAGATGAGTAAGATCTCCGTTCAAAGCTGGAATTGCAAACGCTATTGATTGAGATCTCAAACTGTGGATGGGTGCAATGAAAGCAACACAAACATTTGATTTCTCGTCCTGTTTAAAAATAAATGTGACATATTGCCTAACTTATTATTTAACAAAGCTGCCATACCACTAATATTAAAAAATAGCCTAATGCTGTATTCACTATGTAATTAACGCACCTGTATGAAGGATTAACATGTCAATAAAGCTGCAGATATGGGAATGTGGCCACTTTATAATGTTTAACACCACAATAGACATTCATTTATCACAAATGGTCGTTATGTGTTCTGCTTCGACTTATGATTTCGTTTTCAAATTTGCTTTTTCATTTTTAACAATGTGCCATATCTCATTTAGGTTGTCATTCTGAAAAAAAGCATCCTCATCGAGTAGTGAGTAACTCCTTTCACTTTGTAGAAATAGTAATTTCTTTTCAAATTTTTACAAAATAATGAATCATTTTACGTATCCAATGATTATTTTTCATGATTTTTATTGAAAACGCAAATCTCTTAACCTTTCAAAATATGTATCAACATATAGAACATTTAATCTTAAGGGATTGGTTCTTAATAATTTTGACACCAAATGATGGATCATTTTTCATGGAAGTTTCAAAATCAGTTTTTGTTACAAATGAATAACGTTGGCAAACGTGACCTAGTTACAAATCTTTTATTGAAATATTACAGTGGTATGACATTTGTTAAATATTAAGTATTATTGAAAACCCACTCAGTTTTCCTTTCAACAATCTTTTGTAGGAATATACATTTTAGAATATTTCAAATGATTGTCAAAGTTGAATTGAGAATTGTATTCTGTAAAAGAACCCGGGGGCACAGTGTTGAATACTGAGAGCTTAGTTTGAAATTCCTTTCTCATAGATTAGGGTCTTTGATGTGAATAGAGGAGGCTGGATTTCATAGCAATGTTTTGATTTTTCAACATAAGTGGGGCAATCCTAAATTCTCTTGTGTTTTTCATAATGACTAAGGTACCGTATGTTTGTGAATATTGGCCTGCTATTTCTTTAGCTTTGGAGTCTATTTCCATTTTGTATTTGAAGCAAAACTTTCTGCCTGAGGCATTGCACAACCCCCAAATCTGTTTGTCATTTGGTTTCATTATGCATTCAGGAGATATTTGTGGTTGAGGAGTGGCTCTTAGTAATTTTTTGAATTTCCTTGGATTTTTTTCGACATCCCAAGCTGCTTTTTAAAATTCTAAACCAAAATGTCATCTGGGACAAAACAAAGGACGGAACATAAATCCTGGCAAGTTTGCCAGCGATGTTTTTGGAATGAGAGCTTTATAAGTGTCGGCCATTTCCCTAGTTCAGTATTAGAAATTATTCCAAATACACATCTCGATTATCCATCATTTAAAATCTAACACTGACTCACATTCTCCTTTCCTAATGATACTAGATTCTATGGCCCAGTAGATGCTTCCTTCTCGGCTGTGCTGACTATATTCAGCAGAAACTTAACTTTGTTGCAAAACCATTAAAGTTCATTGCGCTGATTAAAAATGAGTTTTTTTTTGCTATTCTGCATATACTAATCAAGGAATTCATATTGAAAATTCATGGTTTCCTGACTTAACACTGCATGATTCTAGTTATCTTTATCTTGCGTTGATTAACCTTTAATTCCCTGTTTTTCTTTATTTCTAGGTTATAGCTGTTGGTGCAATTTATATGGGCCTACTTTGCATGCATCCAAAGCTCCTTCCTTGTGATGCGACAACCGGCAAACGTTTCCAAACCTTACCTAACCCATGGAGACAATATAACATCAGTTTCTAATTCAACTTCTCTCCAGCTTCTTTGCCTTTCTGACATTTTCTCTGGCTAATAGCTTCAAAGCTACATTTGTTGGCAGGAAAAAAAAACACCCTTCATACTAACAGAATGGGCTCAGAAGTACTTCAGCAAACAAAATGGCTGCCACTTAATTGGGTCTGCTTCTTACTGACTATACTAATACAGTATTAAAGATTTGCTGAAGAAACAAAAACAATTGCACTGTGTGCATTTTTTTGTTTTAAAAACCTATTATGAACTCCGTTGCAGTTTTTTTTAAACTTGACTGCAAAGTGGCTGTTTTAGTTAGGTATAAGGTTAACTCGTCTTTCCATGCAGTTACCTTTTCTGCTGGGATGGACTTAGAAAAAGAAGCAAACTTTAACATGTGTATTATTTCTCCTGTTCTCTTTTCAGCATTAATAGTAGCAAAACTCTTGCTCAGTTCGAAAGACTTGACGTGGGAATTCTGGAACACCAGAACAATCAAAAGATTTAATAGTTGTTCGCTCTTTTGTAGGGTATCCTGCTTGGAGTTAGGTTCCTAAAATGAATTCACAAGCCATTCAGCAAAATTCATTAAATGTTGTGCAAAGTTAGTGCTGGATAATAAAGTAGGGAAATTATTGGACCGTTAAGTGTCGGGGTAATGAATACTTCTTGGTTGAACACAGTAAAAAGTTCTATAAATAATGTTTGGATGGAATCTGCAACAAGAGCTGTTTTTATCATGCCCAGAATATGCTGAAGACATTGGAGCATCAGTGTACTGAAATGTTGTTAACATCCCAACTTTCTCACAACCAATCCTATTAAATCTAAACTGAAATGATCAATTGTAAGACCAGAAACACAGTTAAGCCACAGTTAAAATGCAATGAATTTAAGCCTTCTGGATTATTCATGACGTGCTATGATGACACATGACGGACAATTCAGTTGCAAACCTTAACTGATCAGGACAATCGTCTTCATGCTATAACCATGCATTTACCATGAGTACAACAATGAAAAGGGAGCAGAGTGAAATCCTCAACCAAATTGACGGGTAGAAATATGCCCAGAAAAGTGCCCAATATATAAATAAGGGGCATTGCTGCAGGTACAGCCAATATAACCCATTCGTAGGTCTGAAAATTGAAGCAAAATAAACATTAAATATTGTAGCAGGTAACACGAGTGAATGATCTGTAATTGTTTTAACTATCTTGTGTTAACTATCGAAAAAATAATTCCTCAATAATTTTTGCATTTCCATCTTGTGTATTTTATGATGTCAAATAGGGTTTTAAAGTTGATTTACCATAGAATACTTTAATCCATGGCATTTCATCCAATTTATAATCTTACCATGCCTGGACATCGACAGGATAGGTGCACAACATTGTAAAATTCTTTCAATAATGGGTAATAATGAAAGACCCAATGCAAATGTCAGTGCAGTTTTATAACTTGCTCTGAATAATGATTAGGATCGATTTGTGATGGTGACTATTGGATAAGATCACCTCGTTGAATATGAACATCAATATGAACAGTAATGAATCCTTTACTTGGGCGTGCAATCGACATTGGAAACTTCTCAAAGTTTGTTGCGTGTCAATTGTGTAGAGATGTATCATTTTGTGACGCTGTTATTGTGTTCTTGTATTTTAAAACCGTGAATCAGAAATGTATCAGCTACCATGAACTTTACCTGGATAATTAAAATTAATGGTGGATATCGAAACAAAACACAATCAATTTCACACTTAACTTTGTTAATAATGGGATGGATTGACAGCGAGCGCAAAGAAGCTGTTGCCCGTGTCAGACTTTACAGAAAGGATTTGGATTCCACAGAATTAGATGCAAGTTGCACGTTGGGACCAGGAAATGGATGAAAGTGGAGGAATGGGTTTTCAGGATGCAAGGGAATTTTCATATTTTGGGCAGATTGGGATTTCTTCCTCTTTGATTTAAATGTATGCAGTGCAACAGGTTACTAGAGCACTTGTTTGTAAAACTTGTGTGACTTCTAGTGGGTTTTGAAGAATTAAATGCACTTGATTGATTTTCCAAATTCCTGTTGCTGTAATTTATTATTCCTGAGATTTAGAAAACAGATTGACAGTTACTACTTTAAAATACAGTAGTTTAATTACAATACTTGAGTCATCTACAAAAGTTGGGTTGCTTTGGTTCTTACGTCCATGGTAGCCTGGTTTTAAACTGATCTTGCTTAAATAAGATTGTATGCTCCTTTCCACCTAGCCATAAAATGAATGCAACTATTGCATCAAAAATTACTTGTTTTAATATGCAAGTGTAATGAGTGTATTGGCCTGCCCTGCAATTTGTAGCAGGTGGATACAGTGATATCAGTGGAGTTTAGTGGCTGTTGTAGCGGAAAAAAAAAAGCTTTGAACTCATAATTTCAAATCTAAGACCAATATTACTTTGGAATTTACCTTGTCTTTGTTGGTGAGTTTGTGGAGTTTGCTGGATGGACCACTCTGGCTGTGGACTGTTCCATTTTGAAATGAATGAACCACTGTTCCTCCTTCTCACCCTCTTTCCCCACCAAAAAAGGGGAAAATCATCTCTTATTGGTCAATAAGAAAAAAGCATTGATTGATGTGGACTATGGGGAAAGAAAATCTGTGACATATTCCCTCCTGACTAAAGGATAAAGTGGGAGGTAGCAATGGAGGTTGGGAAAATAATGTGAACTATATATGAATATTCTACAGAATTGCAGCTTCTAGATTAAATCCATTAAATTCAAATGATGATTAATTGAAGGTCATTAGTTGGTGAGAGAGAGTGTGAGGCAGAGAGAATATTGAGTCAAGGAATGTGGTTAAACAAAAATTAAGTGGGAAGTGAAAATATTGAGCATCTTAGAATGAAAGATTTTTGCATGGGAATGAAGTCAGTGACATTTTTACTACTTTTACATGGTGTCCGTGCTGCAGATAATTAAACAAAAATTCATGGTTGGTAATGGATTTCTGTTTCATGTTTTGGAAGACTTGTAAATTGTTAACTGAAACGTCATTGTAATAATGACAAGTTTGAATTTGCCGCATAACCATATTTTTGACTAACCATTCCGATTGTTCCTCCTGCTCTCATCATTTCCATGCAGTGCAACCTTTTACTGTTTAAGTATCTTAGCACATGATTGTCAATTATTCCAACTACATTGAGGACAAGCAATTGAGATAAAGAAGTTCTCTGAAATATAGATGCCTTGTTTGAATAGTTATAACAAATCATCTTAAAACGATCATTCAAAGTATAATTGCTTTTAAAACTCTGATCCCTAAAGTTATCTCTTTAATTCCCAACTCTCAATTTAAAACAAAGTTAAAGCAGAGACTGACGGGGATTCAGGCACACGATTTGGGGCTTTGGTGGGGTGGGTGGGAGTTGACCAAAACCGCGGTAAAAAAGAAGGGTCTTGAGGTGCGATTCAAAGGTTGGAAGGGTGAAGTGGAGTGACTCTGGGTTGGGGTCTCCAGAGAACAGGGGCAAAATGGCTAAAAGCTCGGTCCATTCCTGGTGGGGTGGATCGGGCAGCTAAACAAAGTTCAACCAGATAATCTGGTCTGACTGAATTTGACTTCATTGGAACAGTTGAGTAAATAAACCCTTATTGTTTCAATTGTTGGCTCGCTTACACACGTGAGGTGCGTTCACTTTTAGGTAACCACCTAAACCACCCCCTGTACTGCACCTGAGATTGAATGTGAATCAAGTGTATTGCAGCGGCATCAGCTATTGTGAAACAGAGTAACGTGATTATAAAAATAACGCTGGTTCCAGTGCAATCTTAAAAGCTGTATTCCGAATGTAAATTTACATTTTTCTATCGGCTTTCAGAAGGTAGGTGTAGAATTTTGGTACTTTAGAAATTCTGTACATTGACTCATTTGGCGTGCGTTTTTTTTTAAAAAAAGAAGGCTGGGGGAGTTTTCAGTAATTTATTGGTGGCTTAAACTTTAAGGATTGGGTGTTGTGTTGGAGTTTTGCAGCTTGCACATTGGTGCTTTTAAATAGATCTTCCTTTCAAAATTACTATGTTCCAAAACATAGGCTACCATTATGCAGCATTTTATGACGTGTGGTGATTTTTAATTTTATAAAAAATGTTAGGATGGTTATTTAAGGGAGAAAATACGACACTGATGAAAATACACACACACACACACATACACATCATACATTCACACCCAGAGCAAATTAAAATGTGAAACATGGCTGTTCTGACTGTAGAATATTGCGACAGTAGATGAGTTGCAATATTGTGTGTAAATGGTGGCTTTCAGAAGAAAACTTAACAAAAGTTTGTGTAAGCAACTTCATTAGATTTGAATGTGATGTAAATTTGTACAGTAAAATTATATTTTCTATAAACTGGGTTTGTCTTCCAGGAAACTACAATTAATTTATATGAGAATCTGTTAGTATTAACCAAGGTCTATGTTTAGTTTATGCAACCCCAACACTTCAATATGTTGTATTGAATTCTGTATCAGATACTGTATGTAGTTTTTTTTGTGCAGACAATGTCTTAATGCTCACACAAATAAAGGTTTCCATTTAACAACCTAAGTCACATACTATGTGTTTTCCCCCCCTGCATTCTTTGTCTTACCCACGGCTGTGCTATTTAAGGGAGGAAAGAGAGCAAGTGAATTTAATAGGAAAATGTACATTTTCTGGAATTTTTAGGATTTCCCTTTAACATGTTCTAATTTAGAAGTTGGAAAATTAGGATTAGCACAATGACAACTTGCATTTATATAGCGCCCCTCACTCATGGTAGAGTCCCAGAGCGCTGATTTCAAATTATTCACTTAGTTGGCTTGTACTCAAGTAACTTGGTGACACCAGCAAACTTTGGAATTATTAGAAGTGCTCAAGAAAATCACTGACTGAATTACATTATTTATATTTATGCTTTCCTGTAGTTGGGAATAGAGATGTCCATTTGGTGTTGGAAGTAGAAGAGCCGTAAAACATTTTAACAGGTTGCTGTATCAACCGATCTGCTCCATGTCCCCTGTCCAGCCCACACCACTATCAGCAGTCGGGCTTTCAGTCTCTCTGCCCCCTTTGGAACTCCATCCCACCTTCGCCTCGCTCCCTCCCTTGCGTCCTTGAAGGCATGTCTCAAGACCCTCCTCTTCGACCTCACCTTCAGCTACCCTCCCACCCCCACTCTCCATCCCTTTCGATCCAAGCCCCCTGCTCGGGTCCAAAATCTCTGGACTGTCCAGGGCCTTGGGATGCCTTCAAGGCGCTATAAAATGTAATTTGTTTTTAAGGGAATGCTGGATATTTACTGATGTGTGTACGGTGAAGGAAGGAGGCAATGAGTTTGAACTTTGAAGCGAGTTATAACAAGTGAAACCAGTTGGAAGGAACAGGAAAGGAAATAAAGTTCTGCTTTTTAAAAAAAACATCTTGAGTTAATGTTAAAACAGAAATAAAACTACGTTGATATCGTGATCAGCACAAGGCAATGAGTCAGTAGTGTGAATGAGCAAATGGAATAAATGGCAAGAAATGTTTTGTCTCGCAAAATCAATTCTATTAATCTTCCTCCTGACCCCAAAGGTCATGATAATATTAATGTTATTTTAAAATTTTTTGGTGATGGACCTCTTAAAGGGGAACCTCATTGTTCTTGAAGGGAATGATTACAGGACTGTTATAATGGCATATTGCAGATCATATGTGATGTATTTTTGGAGCAGGAGAGAAAAGAAAATGTTCATTCACATCCATTCAAAAAATATGCATCAGTTTTCACTCTGCCGCCTTCAACTATTCATCTATTCATTTTGCTCCTTTTTGGGTGATTTCATTTTGGTCATAAGTCTCCTATCAAAACATTTTACCTTGGCAGCCTGGCTCAGTGGATAGTGCTTTTACCTCTTGAGGGAGAAAATTCTGGGTTCAAGCCCCACGTCAGGAATTTGAAAGCTCATTCCTGGCTGACGACAGCAACAAGATTGCATTTGTATAGCGCCTTTCATATCGGGAGGACGTCCCAATACAGTGCTGGAGGTGCACTGCGTTTTGGAAGCTGCCATTCTTCAGATGAGGCATTAAACCAAAGCCCCTCTGCATATTCAGCTGGATGTTAAAGGTCCCACGACACTTCGAAAAAAGGAGTTTTTCCTCTTATCCTGACTAACAAGCCACGGATAAACTGCACGGCTGTGGGACATTGCTGTGTGCAAATCGTCTGCTGGATTTGCCTATAAAATACACTCCCACGTCTTACCACTAAGTCATTTGTCTTCCCCCACCCACTGTGAGCTTTGAGGCGTCTTGCTGATGTGAAAAGCACCATATAAATGTAAATGATTGTACATTTAAAATAATAAAAAAAATTCAAAATTTGTGGACGACGCCAAATTGGGGGGAGTAGTTAATACAGAGGAGGACTGCAACAAATTACAAGACATAAATAAACTTGCTGAGTGGGCATTTAAATAACAAATGCATTTCAATGTAGAAAAGTATGAGGTGGTACATTTTGGTGAAAGGAATAAGGAATACTGTGTGTATTGTGGGATGTAGAGGCACTGGAGAAGGCGCAAAAGAGATTCACAAGGATGATCCCAGAACTGAGAGATTATACCTATCAGGAAAGGCTGAACATACTTGGACTCTTTTGAAACGAGGAGGGTAAGGGGTGATCTGATAGAGGTCTTTAAAATGATGAAAGGTTTTGAAAGGATAGACATAGGGAAGATGTTTCCTCTTGTGGGGGAGACCAAAACCGGGGGCCATCAATATAAAATAGTCACAAACAGATCAAATAGGAAAGTTAGAAGAAATTTCTTCACGCAGAGAGTAGTGGGAACGTGGAACGTGCTACCACAAGGAGTTGTTGAGGCAAATAGTATAGATGTATGTATGTGGACGAGTTTCCTGCTAATCAATTACCAACTCCAGTTGGGAGCTGTTATACACTCAATGTGGGAACTGGATTGGGATCGGGGTTCAATGTCCTGTCAAACACTCATTGTCGAGGCTTCCAGCTAAACACTCGCCTCTTGGGGCGTGAGCTACAGTCTGTGGAACTGTCATTTGAAGGAAGATGAAAATATTAATATCATTAATAATAATAAATAATATTACTATTGGCTCAACATCACAAGACGGAGCCTTGCTTCGAGAAAGCCCTTTGGCCCATTTGATCTCAGGAGATTCCCATTCCAATACCGAGGCGATTTGTTAGACAGCAACGCCCTCTACTGAGCTAAAGCGCTTCTCCATCTCAAGCAGCAAGTGAGGTCGGTCCTCTATTGGGAGGAAGCAAGAAAGAAGCTGAACTGAACTGGTTGAAAGATCAAATGTCTTGCGGTGCTGGTTTGTCCCAAGTTACCAGGCAGCTGCTGTGCTTTTATTGTATCTCTTATTGCTGATCCTTTCGCTTTGTCGGGTTAAAGATTGAAACAACCCCGGTTACTGTGAACAAATCCATCTCCGCTGACACAGCATTGAAAGTGGTGCAGGGCATCAGTGGGGGAGCAGCAGGGCTCGAGGTGCAAAACGAGGAGAGGTTAAACTCTTGACAATAACCCGGGGGTTTCATCTTTACCTCTCGCTGTCTTTTTTTTAAACCACTGGGTGATTTTAGGCATGGAAGTGCTTGTGGCTTTCACTTGTTTTACAGGGTGATGCTTTCTGTGAGGGAGAGAGGAATAAGAGGGGTTTGAGACGCGTGTACAGTGTAAATGAATAGTCTGTTTCCATGATGCGTGTAATTCTGTAGCATGTATGTAGATCCAGAACAATTCTTAAAATTAGAGCTGGGCCATTTAGGAGTGGGAATCCGGATCTCTCTCTCCCCCAAAAGGCTGTGGATGCTGGATCAATTAAAATTTTCAAGACTGAGGTGGATAGATATTATAATAATATAAGCCTCGCATTTGATATAGCACCTTATCACATCTTCGAGACGTCTCAAAAGCGCTTCACAGAATATACTGTAAAGTGAATTGATGGTATATTATTTTGGACTATTCATTTACACTGCACACGCTCAAACCCCAACTAATTGCACACAGCAGCGTCCCACAAACAGTGTCCCACAAGTCGTGGATTGAAGTGACCAATTTATTATTTTGTTGAAGGAATTATTACCCCCGGAATGTTTAATACTGACAGCCGCCTGAGGGAAGAAATCCTCATCAACTCTCCCATAATTGTTTCCTGTGTCTGACTGTGTCTCTTTCTCACTGAGGAAATGATTTTCCTTGTTTAATTCTGTCACCAGTGCCCTTCAGTATCTTCAACACCATAATACTGTGTGTGACTGTCTCTCATATACACGAAACGTATAAAGAGAGACAGTTGGGCAAGTTTCCTTACTCCGCACGCCTCTGTTTACCTCGCAGTAAGTAGGAACCCGGTTGTTAGTTGATTGGCGAATACTTTTCCGGGAAGGATAATCCCTTCCAAAAAGAAATCCACATTTGTTTGTGGGGACACTGCTGTGTGCAATTGACTGCCATGTTTCGCCCACAAAACATAGTCAATTCACTTCACAGTGTATTCAGTGAAGTGTTTTGAGATGTCTAGTAGACGTGATAAGGCGCTATATCAAATGCATTTATGTGCAAAACTCCACCGCTATATCAAATGCCCGGATACTCAACCGGATGAAACTCTGTACCCCCATCACACCAATCCTTGCCAGGCTCCACATCACCCAATGGATCGATTTCAAGATCCTCTCACTCACTTTCAAATCCCTTCACGTCCTCGCACCTCTCTACCTCTCCAAACTGCTGACCCCCCACTTTACCATCTGCTGCCTCCACTCGGCCCCTCCGCTCCACCATCTGTGGCTATGCTTTCAGCCACTACACCCCGAAACTCTGGAACTCTCCCCCTCAACCCCGTTGTCTTGCTCCCACCCTCCCTACTTTCAAATCCCACCTAAAGGCCTTCATTTTTGATCGTGCTTACAGTCGTCAGACTCTGCCACAGTGCAGTGCTCCGGGACATTACCCCGTGTGAAGGAAGCTATATAAATGCAAGTTGTTGTCGAATACATTGCCTTTATTTAACTTTTATAATTTACATACAAATACATGCACATACGTACATACATACAAAAGTAGCAGCCAACTGCCATTCACATGTTTCAGTTCCTGTACATATGCTGACAGCGTATATTGCACTCTTACCCCATCGAGTAAAGTGGCCACTTACAGCCACCAGTTTCTCATTACTTTCTTGGTAAACCAATATCAGACTCGTCCATTTCTTTCCGTAGGTTTAGTGTGAATTCGAGGACAATTTGGTATATTATTCACTCGGTACCACTATCTTGAGTTCTGTGATGCCCTTATGTTTTAAGATACACACAAACGAATTTCATACATGAACACACACGCACACACACACACACAAAAAAATAACCATTACTCTTTATGAAGAAAGCCTGATAAGTGAAATCGGTGAAACAGCGCACATCTCCTACATAGGCACACATTGAAGCGTTGAAAAGGGTTGCAGGATTCTCGTTGCTGTTGTACCGTGTCTGGGTTGCGTTCGTAAAGCTTGTTAAAATTGGTGCGTAGAAAATGAAAGTGGCGGAGTTTGTCGTCAGTGTGAGTATAGGTATTTTTCCAACTGGGCTCATCTTCTTGTCGAGGTTTTTGTGTGTGCAAGAGAGCACACTGATGGTTACGATGCCTGTCTCGTGCACACCAGCTCGTAACATAATCTACAATGCTATCGTACGCAAGTGTAATCTGTAAGTCTCTCGACCACCCACCCCCCCAAAAAAAAATGCACAGTTAAACATGAATACAAACTACTACTAATAATAACAGTAATAAAAAAAGTGTCGTTGCAATAACACGTTTAGATTTCCCCCTGCGCTTATAAAATCGAACTGAACGTTGAAATTTATAAGTTGCTTCAGACATCGGCTCTTTTTCAGGGCACCTGTGAAGCAGTCCAGGGGGCCAGAGAAGTCTCTGGTTCACTGTCGGATCCTTTCCTTCGCTGCCGCTCTCTCTCCCTGAAATGGTGCTCCTGGTGCCTGCTATTTCTGAAATGTTGCGCCGAAGATGTCTTCGTGGTATCTCTTCTGGTTCTGGTGAACGAAAACAATACCAGGCATAAATAAATAGAAGACAGCCAGTGCAAGGTAAAGTCCGTGGTTAGAGCACTCGCCTCGCAAGCGAGAAGACCCGGGTTCGATTCCCGGACTGGGCGAAACGGCCATAGTTGTGTGCGAGGAGAAGAGAAATATGTTGCGATTGCGGTGGGAGGTTTAAGCTGTGGTAACCCAGGCCTACCTTCAGCTCGGTGAGGAACTCCTCAGCCTCCTCCACACTCATGTTTCCCTGCTTGGCGACCACCTCCTTCAGTGTTTCGGCGACATCTTGTGCCATTTGGATTTCGCCGCAGATGTAAATGTGTCCCTTTTCTTCGTGCAGCGCACTGTAGACCTTGGAAGCCAGCTTCTCCCGAAGGATGTCCTGAACATAGGTCTGGAAAAGGGACATAGGAACGTAAGGATTGAAAACAAAAAGTACTTTGCGAAATTTTGGCGTTATAATATTCAAGCCTTCCAAAGTCCTGCCGATTAGCCAGGCTGGTCTGTTATTGGCTGTTATTGGCTCGGAATCAAACTTGGGACCGTCCTAATCTCCAGGGCTCAGTATTTACCCCATTGAATCATTAACACATTGAGCCTTCGCGAAAACCTGACACACCGATGAAGTGCAGGGGTGAGTAAGTTACCTTCTGTGTGCCTGGTTCTCTGGAATAGGCCGTGTAAACGTCCTTCAGGATGCCTTTGGCTTTGAGCGCCTGAGTTTCTTCCTTGTAAATGTGATCCATTTCGGAATGGCGGCAACCGAACACCAAGGTCATGCCACAGGCTCGGGTTCCTGGCGAACGAACGATAAATTAACTACAATTCCTGGCCCAGCACTAAGAACTCTACAGCGGCACTCAATTCTGTCCACTTTACTGGTGAGCCGTCCAGCACTGCATCCAATTAACAGGAATTTGCCCAATTTCGAATCCCCTTCATTTAGAATTTGTACAGCCTCTTTCACGTGGGGTGTCGGGGGTGGGGTGGGATGTCTCAAAAGCGCTCGACATCCCTGGCTGGGCACCTGAGCCGGGGGTGGAGGTTGGGGGTGGGAAAGATGACTGAAAGAATCTCTCCTCATTAAACCGCAATATTATTTATTTGTATTGTTATAAATAAATATTCTAAAGCATTCATTCCTTGCCTCATAAGCTCTCAAAAAAAATGCGGTCGCTCAGTCCGCGGCTGTTTGTGGGATGCTGCTGTGCGCAATTGGCCACCGTGTTTTGACCACAAAATACAGCCAAGCCAATATATCCTGTGAAGCGCTTTGAGAAGTCTCAATGATCTGATAAGGCGCTGTATCAAATGCAAGGATTATTATTATTATTGCTTCAGTTCACAGAGCTTGCGGTATTAAATTGCTAGCAACTCAATGGCTATTTGATCATCGAATTTGGGGATGAGTGGGGTGGTGGGAAGGGGGGGGTTGGGGGGAAGTGGCAGGATCACAGCCATAGATTGAACATACCTTGTGTTTCGAAGTCGTGCAATCGCTGTTGCCAGAAGCTTCTGAACGGAGCAATTCCTGTTCCGGGGCCGATCAGGATGCAGGGTTTGGACGGGTTCTTTGGAAGGTGGAATCCCGCAGTGCTAGATCAGTAACAGAAAGCCCGATGTTAGTGCAATGAGCTCAGGTTCTCAAAGCAGAACCCCAATAACGGAAAGCGTGCGCACTGCACTCGCCAAGCGAGCTCTGCGGCAATTGCACCCACCTGCGCACGTAACAGGGGACCATCTCATTCATTTCCATGGTGTTGAACCAACTGGTGCAGACTCCATGATGCAAGGGTCCTTGGCCATCTAAAACAGAGAGGCACGTCATCAGCAGATGTCCTGATTCCTGCCTCGTTAACTATGAGAAACGTGCGTCTATTTTTGCTCAGAGCGCTCTGAGAAGGGAGACATCAGCATGGTATCTCCATTGCTTCATAACTCGCGCCTGTTCGTGTGCTGTTTAGAGGATACGGTGCTCTGTCGGGTTCAAGCCCTGCATTGGCTCGTTCACCAGACCTGACACTGCATTATCAGAAGTACCGAACTTCAGACGAGATGTTAAACTGATTCGGGTGGAAGTTAAAGATGCATTGACTCTTTTTGAAACGAGGAGGGAATCTCATCCCTCCTGGTGTCCCGGCCAACAATCCACCAGAGAGAGAAAGAAAGCTGTTTTTAGGCCATTGCTATCTGCAAATTGTCTGTCTTATTCATCTACAAATTCAAAACCACTGCACTTGACAGCAATTATTTGTGAAGCGTTTTGAGACTATACATTATAGGTGCAACGTATATCAAAGGCAAGAATTACTGTCATTATTTTACAGTAGTTAGTTGGGGCTAGGATAGTAGCAGTTGTCACCCATGCTCATTGGGATCAGTGAAAGCCATCGTCTAAGACGCTCGATGAATTTATTCCCCTCCAGAAAATCTCTCTCTGTAACTTTAGAAAACTGGCATCTCTGCTGCTGCCTCTCATCATCAGGAACGTTTTACTCTGAACCAGTGATCAATCTGCAGAGAGAGAGAGAAAGAGAGAGCAGAGAGGACCAGACCTGCTCTGTAATATCCAGCTCTGTTTACCTTTTGTCCTGTAGTTCACCACTGCGACAGTCAAGTGGATCTGTCTGGGACTCTTGTCCAGGGAGGAGCTGACGGAGTAATATCTGGGCTTGAGGAGCATGAGCTGGGTGAGGAGGAAGGTGCTGGTGCACTGGATGGAGGGGAATTCCTGCAGGAGCTCCAGGATGGTCGGGCTGCTGAAAGATCTCCACTTCTCGTACTCCTGGGAATTCTGCGGAGGGGCACGACACAAGGATTGAATGGATTTTACGGCTCCATCTCCAGTCAGCGAGAGCCTCGTACAAATAACCTCACGCTCCCATTAACTCCTCTCTCTCCTCCCTCCCTTGCTCCCTCCCGCTGATCGTTCCGACCTCACTCTCGTGCTCCCTCCCTTCCTCCCTCCCTCCCTCAGCTCAGCAATTGGAAATATTTAACATGGACGAATACTTAACTTGCAAAGAGCTGCACAGAATGATACAGCACAGAAACAGGCTATTTCCCCCCCAACTAGTCCCCCCCTCACCTTTACCCCTCTATTCCCTTCTCCTTCACGAGTGGCATCACCTTCCAGGCGAAATCCCTTTGCCTTGCATCTGGTTGCGGGGGGCTGTGGGGTTGTGGGGCTTGGGGGTTGAGGGTGGGAGGAGGAGCGGTGGTGGTGGGGGGGTGGGGTGGTGTGTGGGCGTGAAGCGCTCTGAGACGCTGCCCTGCGTGAAGGGCGCTATCTAAACGCAAGCTGAATGTTGTCGAAGCTGCTTCCGATGCAGAAGGCGCAGTGTGTACCTGGCTCAGCTCTAGCAGTCTGTTCTTCTCGGATTCTTCCGTGGCCAACTGGGCCACTTTCTTCAGGAGCTGCGGGGCGGGGGGTGTGGTGATATCCAGGAAGTGGGTCAGCGCCTCTGAGAGGGTGCAGGCTGGGATCCTTTCCGTTGCCGTCCAGTCTGAGGGGAGCAAAGAATATCCCACTGACGGTTCGGAAGCAGTTAGGGCAGGAACGGTCTCCGATCGCAGGAGAGACGGGCGGAGGCACCGCTCGTGTTTTGCGATCAGACCGAGGGAAGCGGAATAAACGTAGCGTAAGTTACTGAGAATATAATAATTTGGGGTGGGGGGGGTGGCTGGGGGTTGATATACGGCGAGGTGTGCGTTTGTGTTATTTCACAAAGCCCTGAATCCATACGAATAGCAACTGAGGGATCGAGGGAGAGAGTTCCAGAGTTTCGGGAGGTAGTGGCTGAATAACGGCCACCGATGGTGGAGCGGAGGGGACGAGGGGCGAGCAGAAGGCGGGAGACAGCCGAGTGGAGGTGGCGGGATGGGGGTGGGGAGGGTGGGGAGGGTGGGGGTGTTAAGTAATCGCAGAGGTAGGGAAGGATTTGAAAACCGGCGAGAGGATCTGGGCAGAGATAGTAACAGAGGAGGGTCTGGTTAAGGACCAACCCAAGCGCTGCAGAGAGCGGCACTCACCACTGGCTTTGTCCCCACGGACCTCCACCTTCACACACTGGTTAGGAGCCGGCGAGTCTTTGAGCCTCTTGATGAGCCCACTCACCAGCTCGGCCTGGTTGGATGGGAAAACGCCAATGTGTTCTCCTGGCAGATACTGGAGCTCCTCCGAGGGCCCACAGGAGAGCTCGACCAGGATGGTGGAGCGGCTGGAAAGCAAACGAGAATCTCGTAAGTGAGCGCGAAGCTTTAAACCGCGACGGCACACGACGACATCCCCTCTTTACTGCGTGCCCCAAGGAACAGACGGCGCAGCTGAACGCACCTGGACTTCGCACTCTGCAGGTTGGTCCTCGATTTCAGCGTCATTGGCACGACGTCCTTCAAATGCAGTTTCGAAAGAGCTAAAAAGGAGAGAGAGAGAGGAATAAATATCACAGAAGTGTCTTTATGGAACCTCGGATTGCAATGGAAAGCAACCAGTTATTTGCCTGAAGAACATCCTCTTCGACCGTGCCTGCAGTCGCCCTCCCCCTCGCCACACCCCCCCACCCCCCCCCACCACCGGCTCGGTGCCGTGCTCTGCCACTGTCAAGCGCTCTGAGACTCTACCCTACGTGAGGGGCCGTTGTGTAAACCCAAGTTGCTGTTGTTGTCGGAGGAGGAGGTTTGTGAATGGAGTCAGTACCTGCGCACAGATCCATGGGCTGGGCGATGTTTGCCAGCCTGTATTTGCTGGGCTCCCACACCTCGCTCGTGGTGGTCGCTTTGAACTGACTGAGATCCACTTGGCCTCGGACGCGGAACACATTGCACGCCGTCTGGATTGGGAACAAAACAACACAGGAGGGGGAGATGAATTTTGGATGACGTCGAAAACTCAAACGCGACGGTGAGCAACTTAAGTCGACCTCATGTCATACGTCGTGTTTTTTTTCCCCCCTTTAAGGACCCGGAAAGCATTCCCCCACCCTCCCCGCCCCCCCCACCCTCCCCAGCTCAACGGTTCCGGATTGCAACGCACCTTGAAGGTGTTCAGAGCCCAGCCTATGAAGGATTCCTCTTGCCCGCTGAGCTCGTCCCCTTCACCCGTTGGTGACATCTGGGCAGCTCCCAGCTGCTGCAGCTTTCTATCCACTGCGTGGGCAAAGGCGCAGAACTGCGGGTACATGCGGGAACCAAGGCCAAAGACCGAGTACCTGGTGGAGAATTTCAAAGGACAATTTATTTTAAAACGAAAACCTCCAATAAGATGACATTAATAATAATAATATTAAATACTAATCCCTGCATTTGATACGCTTTATCACGTCGTCGAGAGGTCTCAAAGCGCCTCACAGGATTTTTACTGTGCCGACCGTGGTCCAATACACAACAACAACAACAACAGGCCCTTATTCAAATGTAATCTTGTTGTTGTTGTTGAGCGCCCGTCACACAGGATAGCGTGACAGACTATTGGAAGTTCCTGGCATAACTAGAACGAGAGGAACTTTAGTACCGTTCTAAGCTTGGAATTGTTAAATAATGCAAAATGGTTGAACTACTGTCCGATTACCGCTTTCAAATAGCCTTCAATAAGGGCTGAAAAAATATCATTGTCGTTTAAGTGCACGGAGACACTACTCGCTATGTCCTGCACATTACAACAGCCTCGGAATACAGGAGGTCGCAAGTATTTACCTGAAGTTGTACAGTTTTGCAGGTTTCTTGGTGAACAGGGATTTCTTAAATCTCTGAAACAAAAATACACGTTGTTTTATTACAGAAAGCCGTCTTCTACAATAGGTTCTGCAATTTTCTTTGACAAAAAAGTTACAGTTTCTATCTTGTAGGAAGTACTTCAGCACTGTGTAAGCCTAACGTGATCTCAATCTAGAGCAATGAGAACATTATGTGAAGCTCTGGGATTTAAATTTGGGTCTTGTGAGTGACAGTCCAATGTTTTGCCACCAGAACTAAAGGAACGACTCATGTAGTTACATAAATCTCTATAAATACTCTACCTTCTTTACTATCTACCCCTCTCCCCCGCCCCATAACTCCAGGGTTGTCTCCCACAAACTGTGCGCTTTGATTGTGATAATTTTCTTTGCATTTGATAGCGCCTTATCATGCCTTCGAGACATCCCAAAAAGGATATAGTGGTAGCTCAATCTCCTTGCACCCTGTATTTGATGGAGATGAAACCTCAGAGTAAAGGAATAATTAATTACCTCTCCATTTCCAGGTGAATCTCCGTTTCCAAAGGTACTTGCCACCACCAGCACCAGGGACTCCTGGGCCAAATCACTCAGTTCATAGTCATCCATACACATAACCTGATAGTGAAGAGTGTCACAAACAGAGAGGTCAAGAATAAGCAGTTTCTGCGGTTAAACAATGCACCCTTCTTAGGGAACTCATCCATATATTTACAACATATTTCTAGATACATGGAGCCAGAATAATTCAAGTATCATTAACATGTTTTTTCTTTAAACGTGTAGACAGTTGGGTTGAATCTCTGAACTGATCTAGACTACTTTTCCACAACCGCACCACTGATCAATCCCAGACCAGGTGTAGTATGCACTACAGTCATGTTTCTTGTGTTCTTTCCTCAATCACAATTTCAGAAAGCCTCCCCTCTCCCCCAGTAATGCTCAAGTATAGGATTTCCATTTGCCACACCATCCAACCTTAGGATGTCTCTGGGACGTCTCACCCAAGAGAGATACAGAGGGAGAGGAACCTTCAACCCATTTGGTCTCCTCATTCCAGAATACCCACCCTTCCAAGTTTCCGAGTCTGTGGCTAACCAGTGTGTGACAACCCCTTCACCCCTGATAAACAGTACAAGAATTGCAATTACCTTGGTGTTGAAAGCGCTGTTGAACATTGTGCAGAGCTTCCTGGCAAAGGTCTCGGATTTTCCAGTTTCCGTGGCGAACAGAATGGTCGCTTTCACCCTCTGTGCCATTGTTTTGCGCATCAGAGCAGAGGTGAACAGAACAGCCCTAAAAGGGAAAGCCAAAGCTGAGCATGAGAGATTGAGAGCTTTCTATACTGAATTAGTTACACTAAACTTTTTTGGTTCTTTTTTCCCTCTCCCCTGGAAACTCGGTCACTGAATATCTTTCCAGCCTTTCTCCATATTTTCATTTTGAAGAGTAAACGCCGCGTTGGTATATGTTTTCAAACGTTAAAACGTTAAACGTTAAAAAAAAGTGCAGACATTATTTTAACATCGGGTTGAAGGTGGTGATGACTGAAGTCAAGACTCACTTGGCTAAGTGTTTAAACTTGATCATGTTCTTCTGCGGTCTACGGCTCTCGTCGTGCCACACATGGGTTTTCCAGGGGTCCGGCTGTGAAAGCGAACAGATGGAATGAGATTAAATCAAACGGCCTTTGATCCAGAAAAGAAAACTTTTGTCCACTTCTCCCAAAAATTCAACATTTTCAAAAAATTGTAACGTGTCGAGACTGTGTATTTTTAGAATGAATAACGGTAATCCTTGCATTTGCTATGTCGCCTTATCACGTCTTCGAGTCGTCTCAAAGCGCTTCACAGAATATACTGCAGAGTGTAGTGACTCTGTGTTTTGTGGGCGAAACGCGGCAGCTGATTGCGCGCAGCAGTGTCCCAGAAACAGCCATGGATTGAGTGACCTAATTATTATTATTTTTTGGAGGGATTATTACCCCGGAAAGCGATCCGCCAACAAGCGGGTTCCTGCTTACTGCTGGGTAAAGTAGGCACGTGTGTGGAGTAAGGAAACTTGCCTAAGGTTTCGCGCTGCCCGGGAATCGAACCCAGGTCCTCTCGCTTGCAAGGCAAGTTCTCTAACCACTGTGTTGCAAGACTCCACTACTTTCTGTACATTATAGATGTGCAAAGTGGATTACCTGGTAGTAATAGAAGGGTGAGAGGATGTAATTCAGCATCTCCTGATGGAAGACTGGGGTGATGCTGCCGGAGATGGGAGGCACAATCCACACCCAGTCGGCCGGGCAGCCTCCTCTCAGACGGAACTCGTTCTGCATGTGCTTCATGAAGGACTCAGCCGCAGTGTGATGGTCCATAATAGTAACATTTCTTTTCTGGAGATTAACACCAAAAAAAAATGAGAAGGAAATGATTGAAATGTTCTGTGCTGTTTGTGCGCTGGGTCAGGCGGACGGAGAGTTACGGTCCCATTGACCTCTGAGCGTGGGGGGTGGAGCTGAGCGGTGGGAGTTATGTGTGACCTACTTTTCCAGTCTCCATTGTGTGATTTCCCCCTTTAACCCTGTAATCTTACCACCCCGCCATCGGTGGCCGAACTTTCAACCATTCAGCCCTGGCATTTGATCTCGGATTCCCTCCTGCCTTGCCTCCCTCCTTCGCCAGTTTTAAAGCCCAACTTAAGGGTCAACTCTTTGACCACAGTTTCGGTCATCTTTTATTCCCCCGCCACCCTCTCCCCACCACACACAAACACCTTCACCCCTCCACTACCCCGTGTGCCCAGCCAGCTGTGTGAAGTGCTCTAAGACATGCTCCAGGTGTGAAAGCTGCTGTATGACTGTATATTGCATTGTATGTTTTGGATCCCAGTCGAAGTTTACACGCCCACAGCTGACATTCGCTAGGTCAGTCGTCTATTGGTCCTTTTTTTGAAATAGTAGATTTTTTTTGTGTTCAAAATGACCAATTTATATATTTTTTGCAAGAAAAAACATTATTTTGCACAACAACAACATTTAACACTATCCCTTACCTGGAAGCTGTGCAGGACAGCAATGTTGATCTCCACTACAGCTTGATCTTTCCAGAGATTACTCAGTTTCCTTGTGTCCAAGCCCATCTTCTTCCCAACTTGCTGAAATGGGGAGGTGAAAAAAAGAGAAAATCTTAGTAAATCCATGTTTACGCTTAGACAGAACTACAAACTACTTTTTATGTTATGAACTCAACCACTGAGAAATCCCTTGAAAAATAATTGACGTCATCAATTCGCAATAAATTAATTGATTGCATGTTCCTGACCAGTCCGTTGGTTTCCAGCATTGTTGAAGTGCTGTTCTCATTCCATTAAATTAATGGGAAACATGGAAAATCTAATTGAAATGATTGGGGTTTACATGTTGGGTGTGTTCAGGGCTGTGCCTGTGATTTCAACTGACACAATGAATGGAAATGAGGCACATCCTGACTTTGTCAGACATTCCTCTAACCTACGCAAGCTGTTCTCATCCAACATTGCAGGCAATTGTCCTGAGTGCCCCTGAGCTGGAGAGGCACTATGACTGGCACTCCTGATTCACTAGCCAATCAGTCTTGCTGGAAAATGCATATCTGTGTGTGTTGGGTGGGGAAGGGGGAAGGAAATGCGCTAGAGGTTCTTCCATACTAATATCCTTTGATCACTTTATCTAACAAAAGACTCTTAATGTATCAGTGAGTGGAAAGCATAAATCATCGGTTACCTCCAGCACATTGTACCGCTGGATGTCACAGAAATCTCGAACGCCAATCTCCGAGCCCATATACCAGCCATTGAATGGGCAGCCTGGAAACTCCAGCCCACCAACTTCCAGTAACATGTTGGCCACAGCGGGCAGAGCGTACCACCTAAGGCCGAGATCCTTGAACCAGTCGTATCTGCAAAGGCAAGGAAAATGATTAATTCTGTGTTGTTAAAAAAAAAGGAGGGAAATTTGAAAACCCTCACGCTGAGAAGGCTGGAGATACGTGCTGAAGACTATACAACATGAATGTAGTTGGACAGATGAAGGGGTAAAAGACTTGCCTTGGATGTTCCATTTCCACTTCAAGAATCACATCCCGTGGGATTTCAAAGATTTCTGGATCCTCCCCGTTGAACTGAAGGACCATTGGGAGCACCTCAAAGCGTTCAAAGCGAGGAGTCCAGCCCAGCATCATGCACAACTGAAAACCAGACGGAAAAATTTCAGCTTCACAAACTCTCTTTTGACAGACCCTGACAGACAGTGAGTGCCATGCAACATCTGATGGAATTTAATGTGCGTTAATCTCTAGATCACGGCAATAAATTCTAGACTAATGTCAACAAACCCCTCCCCCAACCATCCCCTCTCCCCCAACATTCCCCCCAACATTCCCTCCATCTCCTGTGAGTCTCATGGCTTACCTTAGTGAACTCAATGCTGGCAGGATCTCCGATGATGGAACCATCCTCCAGCTGGTAACCTGCATATCGGACCAGCTGAGAGTTCCACACCCTGAAGTCGTGCTTCCCATCTGTCCTTTGAGGGAATACAGTGATCGTAGATCTGTGGGGTTAAGTTACTCAGTAAATAAATTGCAGAATGGCTTCTCTTATTCAGCCAGATGTCTGGCACATGTGGAAACCCATCATCGGGCTCGAGAGTATCCAAACTGGATTACTGAGACTTTCACATGTGTGGCAATTTCCTGAGTTGTCTGGCATGGAGTGGCTACTCTCTCTTCCCAGAGGGAGTGAGACCTGCTTACCTAATTACCGAGAGAGGTTGGGGCGCATGTTTGGCAAGAATAAAGGGGTATCGATTCTAACACAACTCCGTCCTGTGAGGCTGCATTTGGACAATGTCGGGCTTTGAGTTGTGCAAAAACATGGGGAACATTGTTTTTTCTTTCGTCAAGTCATTGCTGCACAAGTCGAGAAGTAATTTTTGCACTGCAAACCTGATGAAATGTTTAATTTTGCATCTGGTCTAACCAATGCAATTGCACTTTTGCAACAACAGATGTCATCGCAAAGATGTTCTTCTGGACTCCCTGCTTTCTCCCTCCCTCCTTCCCTCCCTCCCTGCTCCTCCCTCAACTCGTCGTTCCTCTCTGTTCCTTGCGATTCTCTCAGGGGTGGTTTGCAAATCCTTTCAGTTACCTTAGATTCCCGTCGTTGGATGCGTATCGCAAGTGAGTGCAGATGTGATCGAACATCTCCTGTGCTGAGTTGCATTTACGAGCATCAAAGAGCTGTGCGGGTAGAGAAAGATCATTAAGGTAAAGGATTTGTTCACACAGACACACACACACACAAAAGGAAATCAGTAAAGAAACTTATGACAAAATCAAACTCCAGTGACCTCCGGGATTCACTTTACCTTCAGGTTGGACCACTGGATACGGCCAATGCACCGTGGAGCGTTGCGCCAAGCTTGCTTGGCCCCGTAAAATAGCTCTTCGGTGGTCAGCTGGTAAGTGCCGGTATCGGTGATCTCTTTGCTCACCTCCTCCACCCGGGCCAGATGTTCTTTGACCTGGGGGCTGGGGAAAGACACCAATTTCCATCAGTTTGCAATTGACCGGAAGCACTTATTCCAAGTCCCAGAACCTCAGTCATTTGGTGATGTTTAAGCCCTGATGCTTAGCCGGCTTTTTAATGCCCCTCACCTTATCTGCCCCACCATTGGCCTTGAACCATTCTGTCCCGCCTGCTCACTGAAACTCCATCCCTGAGTCCCTCCAACTCGCCTCCAACCTCCCTCCCCTCATGCACGCATGTCTTAAAATGTACAGCTTTTAACCTTACTTTCAATCATCTTTCCCACACCCTAGCCCACTTCGGCTCCTGTCCCCAGCTCCAGGATTATGAAGCGCTTTAAGACGTCCTCCCATCAATGTATTGTATTACTGTGCATTCCACCCGGTGTTCGAAATGGGGGGGGGTAAACCAATAACTGTCTCAGAACACATCTGAGGAAGCTGGGCATAAAGTAGCTTATCTAAGCAAAGGAAATGACAACTGTTTGCTCACCTCTTGAAAGACTTGTAGTACTGATTGATGAATTCTATAGCCAGAGGAAGGATTTCCTCTGGTGGAATAGCCTGATCTCTGGGCCCTCGGGTCATTGCTTTGGGAGTCATGAGTGCTCCACGGCAAGCCGAGGACTGACACGGCATTTTCTAGATAAGACAGAAATGTGACAATTGTGAAATAGGAGGGATGATTGCAGAAACGTCGATGGGGGCGGGGGGGGGGGGGAGGAAGATTTTGATGCAAGTGGTCCAGTGGTTGTGGTGGGACAGCTACAACAACTACACCAAATTACATCAATTTTGTTTTGGTGGGGGTTGGTTTCTTGTTTTAAGGATAATTCAAACGGTATTTTTTTTTGTAGTTTTCTGGGTTTTTTTTTAAAAAAAAGACACAAATACTTCTGCGGTTGCAGACAATTTCCCGTGAGATATAAATTAAAATCAGGTGAAGCTACGCAGCGACCAATCATTTGCAAAGTCCAACTTCACATCAATTGCTGCGGTGTGTATTGGAAGAAGTAAATCCTAATGCAACACCACCCCCGCGCCATCCCAACCGCCCCCTCTTCCCCAATGCCACCACGATCACCTTACTTACCACTGTTGCTTTGCGATGCAAGGTGTCCTGTAAGGTGTCTCCATTTCCCATGTAGGTTAACTTCACGAATTTCGGAGCGAATGGGCATGCACTGGTCACCTTGGTGGGCTGAGTCGGTTTCTGGTTTCAAAGGATAAATCAGTTATCAGGACGGAAGGTGTTTTTAATGACAGCTCGTGAAAGTTAAAAACAATAAAGTCGCTGATGCTAAAATAGACTGGTATTACATTTCTCTCCTCCTTTGTTTCACCCACAAAATACAGTCAATCCACTTTACATATTCATATTCTGTGTAAACACTATGAGGCATCTCAATGACTTGATAAGGCGCTTTATCAAATGCAAGGATTATTATTATTATTATTATTATTATCCACACTGCTCTTTCACATCGAGCCGTAGCTTTTCCAATTATAATGTGTACCTATAAATTAGCACTGATTACATAGTGATTTGTTAACAATCAATCAAAGTGCTTTATTCACAAAGTTCTGGTTAAGTGTACAAACTAAGTATCTGCTTGATACAGTGCTTAGCACGATGAACATGTGTCAAAGTTTGTAAATAAAACTACATTTGTAGGTAATCTTTATACATTTAGAGTGGACCGAATCGCTAAAACATTTCTCCTTGAAAAAGAACTGATTTATTTTCACAAATACTATGTTTATATATACATATATATATTTGTATTTGCGAAAATACTAATGTATATATAAAATATATATTATATACACATAGTATATATATATAATATATACGGCAAATGACTTTTGACTCGTAAAAAAATTCTTGACAATTATTAATTCGTTTTTTGTTTAAAAGAAATAGTTAATGCCAACGTGACCATGTTCTGAATTTTTCTGAACATTCACTCACCTCCTCGATCTCAGGGTGTTTGCATTTTTCGTTGTTAACTATTTTCTGCAGTTTTTGGACCTCGGAGGTAGGAACAGAGGAGGTGTAGAGCCTGGAGAAGGATTTAAATAGACAAATCAGTCATTGCCACAGCTGGGATGAGAGCTTGTTTCGATTCAATGAACTTTGTTTTATTGTCTTTAATGTTTGACATGAATTAGGAGATCAGAAAGAACATTTAACATGTTAAAAAAAGCTTATTTTTAAGGAAAAAAACGAAAAAAAAAATCCAAGGGAGACGAAAGGTGTTTAATCAAACGACAATATTGGTTTGATTTGTTTTAAAAAGAAAAGCAAATACGGGTTAGAGTCGAACGACAGAGAGAGAGACATCGAACAAGAAAACAAGGAACGAAATTTGCAAGCGATTATTTGTTCACTGGACACAAAATTGAACCCATATAATATTTCGTAAAAATTAAACCAACGGTAAGATTTCGTAAAAATTAAACCAATGATATTTCATAAAAATTAAATAATAATGATTAAATAATACTCATTTAAACGAAATTAATTCAATTTCTCCTTCAAGCTAATTTGCAAGTTTACTTTGGCAAACGATTATCTCAGCCTATTTGTGGTTTTTTTTTGTTAAATTCACAGTAAATAATTAAATCTACTTTAATGTCACTCACTTGCTGGGCTCGGCTTCCTGCTCGAAGTCATTGTTGTTTAGATCCACATTGTATTTGTTCTTCTGCAGGAATCTCCAAGGACACAGCATTTTGTCTTGTGCTTTTGGTTTAGTTTAAGAGAAGGTAGAAATGTTCTTTGTCCTCACAACAACTAACGAATGTAGTCTCAAATACCTGCAAAAGCAGAACAGAATACAATTTATATTGTATATAATGTAATATATTTATATATATAGAGAGAGAGAAATCCTTTTGGAAATATTTTTTAATTTAAACTTATTCTGCCAAGTTTTCTTTTAAAAAAATGTCTTAAGTTCTTACCAGGCAATAACTGTGAACAAACAGCTGGATGAAGGAAAGATATTGTGACCAGACAGGATGGTTGTGGGACTGATGCTCTGACCAGGACTAGTGCCTTTGAGATCTGAGACTGACTTTATATACACATCCTCAGTTACCACCTGGTTACAAAACGCCTTGGACCAGGAACAGAAAGCAAAACGAGGGGAATTCCTTTCTAGTTCCTGCTTGTTAATCATATGTATTTCTATGTCTCAATTTCCTTATGACTCTTTTTGGATTTGTAAATCAATTTGCCCCTCCTTTTCCCACCCACACCCCCACCTCCCACAAGAGAAACGGCTATTTATAACTTGGACAGGCAATACAAAGCATATTTTTTTCGTTTTACTGTAAACACTCTCAGCTGTTCCCTATGAAACCAGATTTCCTTAACTCACAGACGTCTTAGTTGCTTTAGTCTAATTTCAAAGTGCCTCCCGTTTTGTATTGGGCAGCGATTTATACAGCTCCTTAAAAAAGTTACTCATTCTCAAAAACGGCTGCAATTTGTTTTGTCAGGAGTACTTGATGCATCCACAGGAGGCTGCAAAGTACTATCATACACCTTAGCCAAGTTTCCTTACGCCACAAGCCTCTGTTTACCTAGCAGTAAGTAGGAACCCGGTCGTTAGCGGATTGTCTGGTTGCTTTTCTGGGGTTAATAGTCACTTTAAAAAAAGAGGAAACCTAATTATAATTTGATCATTCAATCCATGACTGTGGGACCCTCCTGTGCGCAATTGGCTGCCGTGTTTCATCCAAAAAAATACAGTCAATTCACTTTACAGGATATTCTGTGAAGCGCTTTGAGACGTCTAGAAGACGTGATAAGGTGCTACATCAAGTATAATATGAAGATACCAGGACCCTTTCTTCAACCAGAGGTTAATTAATGAAACCAGTTACCAGGAAGTGTGGCTGAGCTCCATGCTGTGATGGGATGATGGTAGGGTGGGGTTTCTGAAGGAATGAGATTACATGGGCTGAAAAGACTTCTGTATTATAAATTTTATGGCTCATCCAAACTAATCTCGTAAAATAGGGTGTTTAAAGGGTACGAAGAAAATGAAGTGGATTTGGATTAAAATATTTGTCATAATCAAATAAACAGTTTTGATGTGTTGAATGGCCCTCTCCTATTTTATCTTTCTATTTACTTGTTTCTTCCATACCGTAAACCTACAGTAGAGTATGCAAAAGGGTCAATTATAGCTCCTTCCTTCGCTGGTTACAGGGAACACAATTATGCCTGAGCAAGAAGCCTCACCTGAAAATATAGCTTGTTTGGTCCCTGGAAAACTTCTTATTAGTAAATGACACTGCAGATAGGACTTTACACATTAATTACCCCTCCCAGTATACACTAATAACTCTTTACCCACATTGGGAGTGTCTGGGTAAAACCATGTGCATGTATCATCCACTTATGAGTTGTGCATTCACAACATTTGTTGACAGATCATCTCTGCAATATCTGCTTTCATTCTTATTATTCCAATTATCTCATCTCTTTTTCTCAAGGCTCTGTTTCTGGCTCTGATGGACATGTGATGTGGTGCCTCAAGTCGCCCAAGTGACTGTCCTTGACATTGACAACAGAGAGAGAGAGCATTGGTAAACTATTTAATCATTGGGGGGAGAGAAGGGGGAAATTGATGGACACGATAGACAAGATTGATCCTGCCCACATTGTACCTTTACCAACTGAGTTATTATAAGGAGCTGCAGGAATCCAATTTTTAATCATCATAATAGATTGCAATAGAAAAGCACTGTTTGTTTAAGAGTCCATGGTGTAGTTCTTCCATTGGATGAGCAGGTACAAGTATTGGGCAGTAATGGTATGAAGGAACTTGGGGGGGGAAAGGAGAACATGGGCTCAAAAGATCGATTGATTCACTGCTGGTGGAAACAGGCTCAAAGGATTGAATGAATTCTGGTGTTATGTTATTTTTCTTATAACAAGTGTTTCTGCTGCTGGCTCTAACTGTGTTGAAAGTACAATTATTGTACTTCGCGTGACTCTTAAATCATGCAAAAATATAATGTGTGTAACGAATGACTTGAATAAAAATATTGATGCAAACATACAACTCTTATTACATCAGATAATTAGAATGCTTTAAAGTTAGGGTGGTTACACTTCATGAGTAAGTGTATTAGCAAATGTTATAATTGTTAATCCAGTATGTCAATCATACTTGTTTATATAAATTATCTGCAAATCTTGAGGCATTCCTTAAAGCTAGAAACTTAAAATATATGCTTGTTCTGCACAAACTTACATTTGAGGACAATGGCTCTGGCCAAGACCATCAAGGATTTGGGGCAACCGGAGATGGACTTGTCCTGATGTTTGCAATGGGAAAACAACAGCACATTACACTTGTGTAGCTCCTTTCACGTAAGCAGCACGTCCCAAGGCATTGGATAGTCAGGGATCTGCACCCAAGCTGGTGGTTGGGATCAGGAGGGGTGGAGGGCAGCGAGGGTAGGGTTAGGAGGGTGACCAAAGGCACAGTTGAAGAGGAGGGTCTTGAGATGGGTCTTGAAAGAGGCAAGGGAGGGGGCGAGGCGGAGGAACTGTGGATGGAGTTCTAGAGGGTGGCGGCAGACAGACATGAATGTAGAGTTTCCCCAGCCTCTTCTGTACCTACAAGCATATTTTTGGCGCAAATCAAATTTGGTTGCCAGAACTGGTTAACATACAATTTATTGTATTAGTCACACAGGGCTAATTTGCCAATCAGTCACCTTAAGGGCCAATGGTTAGAATTGTATATTCTGAAAAAACAGATAAAACAACTAAAACTTACAACAATAATTCCAGATAAAACAAGATGATGGGACAAGAGGCCACAGGGTCTGGGTTAAAAGAAACAGTTTTAGGATAGGCACCAAGGAGTATTCAAAGCTAGAAATGTTTTCAAGGAAGAATGGTTGAAACCAGGTATTCCTGAAGATAAGATCAAGTGCAATACAAAAGCAATGTATTGATGTGGACAAGACATGAGTCATTAAGCAACCTAGCCTGCCAACATTGTGTAAAAAGCCTAACCAGAGCTCACTGTATAGATTTGCACGTGCAAGTGGGGACTTAGTGAGTTGGGCTGAGCGTGTTTATCGGATGTGGAACTATAGCTTAGGTTGAGTCACGATTTTGAGGAGAGGAGGAAATTTGGGGGGAAAAGGGAGAAAAAGCAAACAGTTTAGAGAAAAAGAAAATAAGAATTTACAAAGCAAGTCGCCAGGAACCTTTTGGTTTGGTTTGGTTCTGTTAGTAATAATAAGAATAAGAATAATCCTTGAATTTGATATGGAGCCTTATCATGTCGTTGAGAACGTTTTATGGAGCTTCTCAGAATATATTTGTAAAGTGAATTGACTGTATATTTTGTGGACTGTACACTCCTAATCTCATTCTGCTGTGAGAAGCATCCTGCATCTGTACAGCATCTCCTGAGAGTGAGAAAACTGAGATTTCAAGTTAAATGAGTAGAGGGACGAGGAGGAGGGAACCACCAGCATTCTACATTGACTGCGTAAGACGAGTGCCCGCAAAGCGACTTTTTAAGGTGAGGCTCAAACCATACCGTTTGCATATGAATGGTGGAAATTCTGATTTGTGAGGCTTTTGGCTTTCAAGCTCTCTGAGGCGCTATCCTGTGTAAGGGGTGCTATATAAATACAGGTTGTTATTGTTGCTGCTGCTGCTGTTCTGCCCCCCCAATCTCTGTGTTGTATTTTTCTCTGTGTGATAGAACCCCTTACATTTCTTCTGGGTCGTGTGGAGATTCATTGGAGCAAAGCCATAGCCCTTTTTTTGGCTTTGCCAGAGTCTTTTACAAAATACAGAAATTACATTTGTTTCACACCCTTCACGTGGGGCGGACATCCCAAGGGGCTGGACAGTCGGGGATTTTGGTCCTGAGCAGAGGGCAGGGAGGGTAGGAGTGTGGTCGAAGAGGAGGGTCTTGAGACCTTCTGCTCAAGTCTTCTGGTGGAAGACTTCACGAGACAACATGTCACAATATGAGTGGTAATTGGAGAAAATCTAGAATTTCACAGGAAGCAGCCAAAGAGAAAGGCCTTTTATGCATGGAAACCCATCCCAATGTTGTGATTCAGCGTTGATATCCATAGCTGTCGACACCAGTGACTGAAAAGGAGATTCTACAGAAGTCAACGTTATATTAAACGTATCTTTGCTGATGTCAACCTTGATCCTGATTCAAGAACATTCACTAAGAGAAATAAAAAAGCAGAAAAATGCTGAGTATCTCATGTCCATGACTCATTTTACCTCCCACCCAACACTCGAACTAGATTACTATTATCAGCCAGGACCACCACCACAACAACAACTTGCATTGATATAGCGCCCTTCACCCTTCACCCTAGGGTAGAGTCCCGGAACACCAGGTGTCATTGGCTTCCGCCAGGTGACACATCAGAGGGACACTCCAGCCTCCTCCATCGAAAACGTTCATTTGGGGCTGGGGAGGGGGAAGAGGAGTCATTCTGGAAAATTCTTCACTTGCTCGTGAAAAAAGTCAAGCAAGCTCGAGGTGAGGCCAACTTCCCTAATGAGAGCCTCTCTAATTGCTAGGTAGTGGAGCGGTATCATTTTGTAAAATTAACTAAAGATATGGTTTGGTATTTCCCTGTCCTGAATTATATCATTATGAGAAACAGTTCACTAGTGAATATCTCTGGCTATGTTCTGCAATTGAACAGTGCAGGAAGTGACACGTAGAGATTTGTAAAATTCGGGTCATCTGCCTGGTCTTGACGGTCTCAGTTTCACCGCCAATGGCGATCAGTAGATGGATGGCACCTTAATCGAGGGGGGAAACTATAGACATATTTTACTTCAGTGAATGTGTAACAGAGTCCACGTAAACAAGTTCTGAGCTGATCAATCACTTCTTTGCTGCCAAATTCCTTGCAGTTATTTCCTGTGGACTTAATGGATAATGGATATGTGATATGAAGTTAAAGGAAGGAATAGATTTCTTCGAGCTTATCATTGGGAAACTTGTGAAGGGAAGTTCCCTGCAACTTTAAAGTGC